TAAATTTTTGGGGTTTAAACCAAAAAATTTCCCCTTTTTCCTTTTCTACCATCTACACATTAAGGTTGTTCATCCCTAGAAGTTTAAGCAAAATCTGCCATCCGGTTTAAGAACAGTTGCGTTCACAAAATTTCTACATAGTATATAGTGAAAAAATCAACAAAGGGCCATAATTCTGTTAAATTTGGTCGCAGCAAAAATTCCTCCCTTTACTTCTATCTACACATTAAGGTTGTTCATCCCTGGAAGTTTAAGCAAAATCTGCCACCCGGTTTAAGAGGAGTTGCGTTCACAAAATTTCTACATAGTATATAGTGAAAAAATTAAAACATAGGGCCATAATTCTGTTAAATTTGGTCGCAGCAAAAATTCCTTCCTTTACTACCATCTACACATTAAGGTTGTTCATCCCTGGATTTTTAAGCAAAATCTGCCATCCGGTTAAAGAGGAGTTGCGTTCACAAGATTTCAGGACGTACGGACGGACAGACAGACGTACGACGGACACTCAGACGGACAAGTGCAACGCTATATGCTCCCACTCTGTGGGGGCATAAAAAATGTAACAATATAAGACTTTTTATATATCCAAGACACAATGGCAAAAGAAAAATTGCTAGTTAGTTATAAATTCAGGAGCAAAAAATATATGCAAGAATACAGAATCCTTACACCTGTATGACAAACCAGTTAACTGAAATACATGTACTGATTTCTTCATAGCTAACAAACAAAGAAAGGTTTATCATTTCTGTACAGTATCATTGAAAATTGAAACTCCTATATATTATGTAGAGATTTGAGTTCAAAACAGGAATCTTAAGTAAAGTACATATAAATGACACTAATATTTGCCTTTTTTCTACGAGAAAATTTAAATTAATATAAAAATATATTTTCTGTAAGTACAGCCTTTCTACTGCCTCTTCAACAAAAAGTGAAAAATGTTTGGCATTTTTTAGAAATTTCTTCACACTTTTAACACAAGAAACTAATTCAAAGACCACATCAGTTTGTATGTATCTATAGTTCTATACATGCTAGAAAAACGTAACACTTGTTGATCAGTATGCTGAAAAGACAGCACAATAAAACATGTTGCTTTCATAAATGGTCATCACAAGGTGAAACCATTTACTATTATATCTGAACTACAAATCATTAGGACCTGTAAATACAACTAAAGTCATTTTACATATCATTTTGAATTACTAGTTGTTAGAATAAACGGGCAATATCAGTATAATATGGGACAAAGAAGTGCCCAAACAAACAAGAGCCCGGTTTGAGCCGAGTGATGCTCCCCGAATAGGTTTTGGACACAGGAAAGTACACCTCTTGTAGTTTCAGAGTTATGTCCCTGGAAAAAGTTCAAAGTGCAATAATTCCAAAATTAGGCAAGGCAGTTATACTGTTCTTTGCACTGCACTTCTAATCAATGTGATCTATCAACCTACAAAGTTTCTTGTTGATATCTCTTATGGTTTCTGAGTTATGTCCCGGACAACTTCAAAAAGTAAAAATAAACAAAGGGCAATAACTCCAGAATTAGAGTTACGATTCTTGTGCACTGCACATCTACCCATTGAGATATATCTACCTACAAAGTTTCATGTTGATACCTCTTATAGTTTTACAGCTATGTCCTGGACAAGTTTTTCTAAAAGGGGAGATAATTCAAAAATGAGGCTTAACAGAGTTTATGTTCTTTTGCACTGCACTTCTACTCAATGAGATCTATCCTACCTACAATGTTTCATCTTGATATCTCTTATAGTTTTAGAGTATGTTCCGGACAAAGTTCAAAGTGTTAAAAAAGGGCAATAACTCCAAAAATAAGGACGAAAAGAGTTATTGTTCTTATGCACTGCACATCAACCCATCGAGATCTATTCACCTACAAAGTTTCATGTTGATATCTCTTATAGTTTTAGAGTTATGTCCCGGACAAGATTTTTTCTATAAGGGAGATAAATTCAAAAACCGGCAAAATAGAGTTTATGGTTCTTTGACACTTGCACTCCCTGCTCATATGCCACTCTACCACAGAATGAAGTTTAAACAAATTATCTCCTAAGGGTTTTCAAGTTACGCTCCGGACATAGACAACTAGACGACAGACTGACATTACTTACCACGAGCTACATTATAGGGTTTTCTTTTGTTATATTCTTTTGTGTTTTTAACCCCACAATGCAGAAAATAACCCCACAAGAGAAACGGAATGAATGACATCAAAGACATCTATTGTTATGAGAACAATAGACCAAACCCCATAATGATAGCTCTGGTTTGTACCAGAAAGAACGGACAGACGGACAATGGCGCGACTATAAAATTTATGCTCCCCCGAAATATTTTCGGGAGCAATAGCACAAAAGTAGGAAAACTACTGGAATCCAGTATAGCAAAAGCTATATATAAAAAAAAAACTTAACAACTATTTGTATAAAAGTGAGTATTTCAATAGGTTTTAATTTCTTGCTTTCAAGTCAAAGACTTAATGTTTCCTTTTTAAGTAAATGGAATGCTTTTTCCATAGCAACAGTTTCCTGGAGCATAAATGTATTTCAGGATTATTCAACATGATGCATTATATGTTTTCAGCCTCTAACTGTTGTCCATAATAGTCTGTTATTTGAATAGTCCCTCTACAAACATTAACAATTGACTGTAATAAGGTGTCATTCACAAGGTCACTGTAATCGAGGTCAAGCACACGTAGGTTTGGAGCATAAACAGTTGACCTAGTCTGAAATAAGCACAATAAATTCTGCTTTAAGAGAACCAAATCAGAAAAAATAATAACATTAAAAAAATTATAAAAATAGTATTCTTTCTAAGCAAGAAAAATCTGTGAAAACAAATAAATTTTGATAAATAAATAAGAAAACATTTAAGGCCCATTTTGTCCCGAATTACTTTTATCACTCAAAACATTTAATTTTGGGTCCTGTAATAGCTTCCAAAAAAGTTACTCATTGGCCAATTACCTGAATCATCTTTTGCTTCTGTTGCATTTTGGCAATAAGTAAATATATAGTATTTAGTATTTGAATGGAAGTCAAAATACTACTTTGTTTACATTTTGCTACTTTTATGGCACATAATTTCACATTCAGCATAACTGTCTTCAAGTGACAAGCATATCAAAGGCCCTAAAACCAATATTGAAATGTTATAAAACTCATGTTTGCCTTTCCTAATGAATGAAAAATTTATTAATTTCTGAGGAATAATGTGCCTTCAAGTCTGCTTTTCACATTTATTTTCAGTCTAACCCTTAACCTGTTGCATTTCTTTCACTGACTTGTCCAGATGCCATTTCTGGACTTGGCATCATCAATTATGGGATACGAAGATCAAAATTTGAAGTTAGTCAGCTAACAATTTTGAGCCTCAAAGTTAGTCAGCATACAATTTCGAGCCTCAAAGTTAGTCAGCTAACAATTTCTAGCCTCAAATGTAGCTAACAATTCCAATCAAGTTAGTCAGCTAACAATCTAGAGCCTTAAAGTTAGTCATCTAACAATTTAATGTCTCAAAGTTAGTCAGTTAACAATTTAATGTCTCAAAGTTAGTCAGCTAATAATTTAGAGCCTCAAAGTTAGTCGGCTAACAATTTAGAGCCTTAAAGTTAATCAGCTAACAATTTAGAGCCTCAAAGTGAGACAGTCAACAATTTAGAGCCTCAAAATTAGCTAACAATTTAGAGCCTCAAAGTTAGTCGGCTAACAATTTAGAGCCTCAAAGTGAGTCAGCTTACAATTTAGAGCCTCAAAGTGGGTCAGCTAACAATTTAAAGCCTCAAAGAGAGTCAGCTAAACCAATTTAGACGCGCTCAAAGTGACGTCAGCTAACACATTTAAACCCTCAAAGATGAAGCAGCTAAACAAATTACGAGCCTCAAAAGGAGTTCACAACAATTTACCTCATCAGACTTCTGAATTACCAGATGACCTGCTTATATACTGTGGAGATAGCGATAATCACTTTTTCCTACGCAAGATAAAGATTAATTTACATGACCACTGTCTATGACAACTTCGCAACTTAATGGATGAAGGAGGACCTCAGATGTATCTCCATGCATTATTCAACAGGTGCTTTGACAGTAAGCTTCACTTCTCGGTCATGGAAGCACCAGTCATGCTATTTATCTATAGGATTTTGTAAATGATCCTTAAGACAGCTTTAGAAAGTACCTCTGCTTCATTTTGAATTATCTTAAATAATATGTATTCTAAAGAATTAAAATTCAAAAATCAAACCTTGTGGTCAGATGGCTGTCCAGCTTCAAAATCTAAAAAAAAAATGTTAACACCAAAATAATAAAATATCTTTTTCAAAAGTAAAGTTTTCCAGAAAGCATTTTCTGTATTTTGAATGATGCTTGTGGGTAACAATGTTTCACAATTACTCTCATAAGGAAACAAATGGAAAAGCATTATTAATGATTATTACCAATCTGATTACCGAATGAAATTTTTATAGGAATTTTGCCAACAAATGTATTGTTTACATTGGTACTCATTTGTCACTGTCATGTTGAAATGAATTAATAACATTTTTCAAAAGATCAGCAATTATGATGATGACTGAAAAATATTTATGATATAAAAATGACCCGTATTATAAAGACTGCCTCACTCTTTTCAAGAATTAAACATTACCATTATGTAGCAATATTTATAGAAATTTAATCAGTTAACAAGAGCCAAGTAATGAAAAAACTTCAAAGTTCAAAAGGCCAAATTTCTGTCAAAAATCCTTTAAAGAGTTAGGGGCCTTATGGTTTTAAAAACTGCCCATTTTTATCTCTCCAAAGGTGTAAATTTACCCTCAGTATTTTTTGAAATACTTTTGTACCAATTTGCAAATAAAACTTTTCCCAAAGTAGGATCCCAAATGCTTTGGTGAGTAAATAGTTTTCCCTTTTTTGTTAGTCAAGCTGTAATTTATAAAAGAATTTCAATTTACCTATATAATGGTGGGAAGGGCTAAAGGGAAATTCTCTTGACCTTTATGTTGGCCCCCTCTAGTAAACTACAGTTCATCATTATTCCTGACACTGATACATCTGTTATTGCTAAAATACACGTCAATATAAATGTACTTATTCGAAAAAAATATAACCTCTGTAATTACTACATAAACAAATTAACTGCTTACATAAAATAGACAAGAGCTATCCACAGTGCTTGATAGTAAGAAAAGGGGCATAACTCTGTAACTAAGAGTCACAGGACTAGTGCCCCTTGTATTAGATAATCACAGGAAAGACCAGTGTGTGAAAGATTCAACCAATCACTTTCAGTAGTTTTAAAGATATCAACATGCATGCAAAAACTTAACCAAAGTACCATGTTGACACAGATGCCGATGCCTGGGTAAGTACAATAGCTCTCCCTATTCCTGAAAACGTTGACCTAAAAAACTTGAAGCCACATAATTGTAAGAAATGTGTTAATCCTTACCAAGGTTCCAACTGATGTCTATTATTCTAAGATTGGTGAATGTGTTTGCAATAGTTAGAATTCCCTCATCAGTAAGACCGTCCTCACCATAGGTATCGGCACTTTCTACTGAGATCTCCATCAAGTCTGGTCCTGTCTCTGCTAACAATCGCAATGAGAAATCCGACACTGGGCATTTGCGTAACTGTAATCTCTGTAATGTAACATTATTCTCAGTTTTATACAATGTACTCTCTATATTTATGACTTGCTAGGTTATAATTCTATACAAGTTACCTATGCATAAAACTCTAAAAAGGGAACTGAAATTTATTAGTAATATAAGTTCAGTGCAGGTTTGGTTGAAAATAAATTTTGTAATGAAACTGCTTAAATATAGACAAATAATTGTTGACGCAAGCATTGACAGTGTAAAAGAGTTCGTCACATGAGCAAAGTCAGCTGTAAACGAAGATGTTTTTTTTCATTTTGTACATAATGAAATTATAGCTCAATATATTTGGTAATAGGCCTGCACCTATCAATATAAAATACATAATTTTAAGTATAGAGAAGAAGACTTGTTACCTCCAACTGTGTACAAGTTGAACATATGGCATTTATCCCCTTCTCTGTAATTTCCTCACACCATGAAAGATCAAGGTTTCTAAGCTGTAAACAACAACAAAATAATAACTTAAAATGTTTCAACTTTGACTATTTGTTAACATGTAAACACATACAGTATATAACATAGTCTTTGTTCAAACAAACCTTAGTGAAAAAAGAACACATGAAATACTGACAGAATTTGCTGTTTTAATCACCATATTTCTACAATGTAAGCTATTACTACATTTTTTTGAAATGTTAATGGAAGTTTTTGTTGAAGCAGAAGTTAAATCATTTCAAGTGTACACTTGCTAACATTTTCACAAAAACAAATATTCCATAAGGCATAACACTTTCTTGAAGGCATGCTGCTTTCAGTGGTTTGCAGTGCCTTTTTGGTGCCATATTGTTGGCCGAAATTTGCCCTATTCCATCCTTCAAAAAGTATGGGTTTTCCCCCTACCTTTTTTCAAATTTACCCCTTGTATAAACTAAATTTTAGTATCTTTTCTACTTTTTAAGAGAGGGCATAAAAATTAGTGGATTTTACTTATGATACTTACGGATGTGTTCAAATGTTCTGAGATTTTAATGAGTATTTTATCTGTAATGTGGTCACTCTCAGCCAGAGAAAGGTCTTGTAAATTCTTGTTCAGGAGGAATGGTATTAAAGCAGAGTCACTGATAAACACAACTCCTGTAAAATAAACACAACTCTTGTAAATATACATACAGACTGCTAATTTTTAATAAAACCCTATGTTCGATATTGACTGCAGCATAATATGAAAGGCTATATATAGCATGAATGGATAGCTTGTTGGGAAGGTCTCAGCCAATGAAATCAGATTCTGTCAAGCATTGCATTCCATCTTATAAATAATCCACTGAAACTGACAAACTGACAAATGCATTCAATTTTGTACTTTTTTTTGGTGTTGAAGACACTTAAACTAGCCAAGAATTTGTTAATTAAAATTAACAAAATCTAATTAAAATTAGTAAGAAATATAAGGTAGAATAAAAAGATTGCCCTTGTGCTTAGGGTCAAAGTTACACAAAAATAGTCATTACAACACTAACTTTAAATTTTGATCCTGATATCCCTAAAATTGATAATGGAAAGTTCCGAACAAGGAAGCAGCTGGGGAAGTCCATTTGATAAATGCAGCAGGTTAAGGAATAAAGTGATTACAAATACATATAAATGATACATAAATGTCGAAAATATTTCTTTACCTCTCAGATTTACACTCTTACATTTTCGACAAGTCCTACCAAGGGCAGCAACTCCTCCTGAAGTCAACATTGAGCATTCTTCTAATTCTACTTCTATCAATTCAGACAGATTTGGGACAATTTGCTGACAAAAAGAAAAAAAGAAAATTATTGATTACAAATATTAGTCACTACAATATGGTTGTTAAACACATTTTACTCTTCAGTTAATTATCCTATTACATATTAATGAATTATACAGGGCAGGGTCTTTTCAAGCTATTTTCAGTAAAGGCCCCAAGTCATAAACTAGAAAAATAATATATGGCATTTTAGGGAAATTTGAGAAACTTCAAAAAGTTTAACAAGAGCTGTTGGTAGGACAGCAATGCTCGACTATTCTTAGTGCTTGATAGTAAAAAAGCCTTGATAATGTAAAACTTTCTAAGTTATTAACAAAAGGGCCAAATTTTCCTTTAAAACCATGCTATTGTTATAGGCCTTGAAGAGGGTCCTATTATGCTCTCAAGGAAGAGTATAAAATTTCAACTTGTCTCAAAGCCAGATGTCAATAGTATATGAAAATATGTGAGGTGGTATGCAAACTTTAACATAAATTCTAAGTCGAAAAAGGGGCATAATTCAGGCAAAATGCTTGATACAGTTATCTCCTCCTGTCTACAGGTTGGGATCATGATGGTGAACAAGTGTGCAAAGTTTCAAAGCCATATGTCAATGGACTTTGAAAATATTTGAGGTATTACAAAAACTTTAACATAAATTCTAAGTCGAAAAAGGGGCATAATTCTGTCAAAATGCTTGATACAGTTATCTCCTCCTGTCTACAGGTTGGGGTCATGATGGTGAACAAGTGTGCAAAGTTTCAAAGCCATATGTCAATGGACTTTGAAAATATTTGAGGTATTACAAAAACTTTAACATAAATTCTAAGTCGAAAAAGGGGCATAATTCTGTCAAAATGCTTGATACAGTTATCTCCTTCTGTCTACAGGTTGGGGTCATGATGGTGAACAAGTGTGCAAAGTTTCAAAGCCATATGTCAATGGACTTTGAAAATATTTGAGGTATTACAAAAACTTTAACATAAATTCTAAGTCAAACAAGAGCTGTCGGTAGGACAGCAACGCTCGACTATTCTTAGTGCTTGATAGTAAAAAAAAATGCTTGATACAGTTACCTCCTCCTGTTTACAGTTTGGGGTTAATGATGGTGAACAAGTGTGCAAAGTTTCAAATCCATATGTCAATGAACTTTGAAAATATTTGAGGTATTACAAAAACTTTAACATAAATTCTAAGTCGAAAAAGGGGCATAATTCTGTCAAAATGCTTGATAGAGTTACCTCCTCCTGTCTACAAGTTGGGGTCATGATGGTGATTAAGTGTGCAAAGTTTCAAAGCCATATGTCAATGGACGTGGAAAATATTTAAGGTATTACAAAAACTTTAACATAAATTCTAAGTCGAAAAAGGGGCATAATTCTGTCAAAATGCTTGATAGAGTTACCTCCTCCTGTCTACAGGTTGGGGTCATGATGGTGAACAAGTGTGCAAAGTTTCAAACCCATATGTCAATGGACTTTGAAAATATTTGAACTATTACAAAAACTTTAACATAAATTCTAAGTCGAAAAAGGGGCATAATTCTGTCAAAATGCTTGATAGAGTTACCTCCTCCTGACTACAGGTTGGGGTCATGATGGTGAACAAGTGTGCAAAGTTTCAAAGCCATATGTCAATGGACTTTGAAAATATTTGAACTATTACAAAAACTTTAACATAAATGGTTACGCTGACGCAGACGCCGACACTGACGCCGACGCTCGGGTGACTGCAATAGCTCTACTTATTCTTATCGAATAGTCGAGCTAAAAAGGAGCATAATTCTGTCAAAATGCTTGATACAGTTACCTCCTCCTGTCTACAGGTTGGGGTCATGATGGTGAAGAAGTGTGCAAAGTTTCAAAGCCATATGTCAATGGACTTTGAAAATATTTGAGGTATTACAAAAACTATTACAAGAACTTTATCATTAGTGGTTACGCCGACGCGGACGCTTGGGTGACTACAATAGCTCTACTTATTCTTATCGAATAGTCGAGCTAAAAACTACCTTATAAATGACTTTTAAGTTTTATGTGTTTTACAACATTCTGTGACTTCACTAATTTCCATTGGCATGAAATTTCATGGTTTTGTAACAACGAGTATTTTCATGGGTTCTTAAATTAGTGGACTGTTTATTTTTCCAAAAAGTAAAATGTAAATAATGTGATGCAAAATAATCTTACAACAGACAAAATGAAATTTACTTGGTTCTTAAATTCACAGATTTACCTTTCGACAAAAACCACAAAAAAAATGTTCCCCACAAATAATAATGATTTGGCAGTAACCTTTTATTTTTATTGAGTACAACTTGATCTGAATCAGCTTAATAGTTTTTGGTTGCAGTTGGAAATTTTGTTAGCAGTTGGTTATTTTGTTATTTGGGGAAAAAAGATTATTTTCAATTTTTGAACAAGGAATGGGGCCTTACATGAATTCTTATTGATAGGGTGAAATTGTCCTGAAGTGACAAACTCAAAATTACAATCCCATCAATACTGAATATTATGTTTCACAGAACTTGAGAATTTCATCAATATCCTTTTTTTGTCAGTTCTTTAAACTATGCTGTGCCAATAACATTATCAGAAATATTTCCATTATCAATTATAAATGTCAAACATCAAAAGCTGAGATTTATGTTCTTACTACATGTATGACAAGAAAAGAGAATTCTAAATGGTTTTCAATATTTATGAACTTTCAGATAGTCTATAAATCTGTAAAACTTTTGAAATCTTGATGATTTTGTAATGGTTTTTAAAAGTAAACAAGTAAAATCTTATAAACTAACAAACAAAAAGATCATGACAATGATCAACATTCATTATGGAAAAAAACATTTGTTTCTTCATTTACAAACCTTGAAAAAGTCCAAAGTCAGGCCTTTCCAATTGATTGAAAATTTTTGTAATCCTCTATTGACAGAGAGAAACTTCGCTAAGCAGAGCTGTCCAAGATTTGGTCTCCTGCTGACATACTTCATTCCATTGATTCTCAATTTAACAATCTTTGGTTGATACAGCAATGTGGAATACTCGATATTAAGCTTATCACTACTGTCAGGGCCTTGAGCAGCTTTTTCCTTGATAATGATATCTTTCTCCTTTCTGTCTATTTGTTTTTCCAAAATGGAATTTTGTATCGCCAGTTGTAACTCCTCCTCGAAGTTTCCAATATCTACTTCCTCTTCATCAAGTCTATAATTCCAGTAATATACCTCCTTACTTACTTCAACATTTCCCTTAAAATACTTCTCTGTCCTTACTGGTAATTCAATGTTCTTATTATCTTTAGAGTCTCTATCTTTCGTCTCATTTTCCTTATTTATATCTGAAGCTTCCCAAACCTCACCTCCACATGCACTATCTTCAACAGTTACTGTTTTATCAAACATCTCCACCAAATCATCTCCACCACCAGCTTCAACCTTTTCTTCATTATTTGTATTTGGAATCAAATCAACAGTATTATTGGTAATACATTCACTATGATCAACCTCATTGCAAGTTTTCTTTGTTAGATCTGTTTCAGCTTTACACACTGTTTCTCTTTCACTTGAAATATTTTCAAGTTCTCCAGTGTTACCAGAACAACACTCATCTTTTACCTTATCTTGCACAAATGCTTCTGTTACAACATTATATTCAGCAATAGTCATTTTGCTTGCATCTCTTTCATTTGTTTCACCAGCAGAATCTCCAATGTCCTTCTTATCATCAACAGTGTCACCTTCAGTATGTTTCTTGTGAATTTCATCCATCTCAATAATTGTTTCCAGATATAAGTCCCTCAGTTCTCTAAACCCTTGGAGTACTTCTTTAAGTTCTTTATCTGATTTGAGGGCATCATCTGTGAGCAAGAAGTCCAATATTGCAGGTAGAGAATATCCTCCAAGGTGCAGCAAGGCAACACAAATCATCTGAAAAAAATGTTTAACACAATTAACCATCATATAAACATTAACAATTTGGGGTTATTTAAACATGTTAAATTTGAGACAAACACTTTCAAAGTGATAAGGTCATATCATACATGTAGGGACTTCTTTTTAGATTACATTGTATTTGTAAAACATCAGTAAAGACCTTTTCAGAACTGTTTACAGTCTAATAAGATTATGTAAAGTTGACTTTTTACCATTCTAATATTGATTTCTTTTTTTTTAGTTAGGATTCAAGTTTGTTTGTTTGTTTGTTCATGAAATGTTTCATATAAATAGGTGCTTAGGAACCTCTGTGGGTGAGTGATTATTGTCATTGACCTCAAACCACTAGCACCTCCCCGCTATGGCTTCGAATCCGGCCAGGAACTAAAATTCATTCATGTTAGGGAGCTATCCAGCTAGCTAATGGAACATGGTGGTTCTATTTAGGTACCGTACCTATTCATGTCTGAAATAAATCAGAAAGGCACCTGAGGTCTTCCTCCACCAGAAAATCATAAAAGTCCCCATATGGCCCATATGCTGATGCAATGTAAATACCCACTGGAAATAAAAAAGTAAGGTACTTACACTGGTATACGAGATGTTAACATCTGTCAGTTTTGGACCACATAAGGAGACAAGGTGCTTTATGGCATCAGAACTCAACTGATTACAGCCGGAAATATCCACACTGGTCAGATTAAACAAGCAGTCCTCTTCCGTAAAAGGCTGTTAGTGATATAAATAAGCTCTAATGATTTCACGTCATGGTCAGACTTTAAGTAAGACATGCAAAGATTAAACCAAAATGGAATAAGGGGCCATTTCTTTTTTATTTCTTTTATTTTTTTTAAAGTGGACCAGTAGCACTTTTTCTATTGTTACGTAATCAACTCTATTGTTCTCTTTTGTTCTGTTTACAGTTAGATGGCATATTTTCTATCTATCTCCCATAAAGTGCCATAAAAGTGCCGTCAATAAGCCATGGTGAATCAGCAAAATCTATATTCCTCAGTCCTCAACAAGAAATAATAAGTTTGATTAAAATTCAAACATTTATAGTACATGTGCTATTATTATGGTTGTTATCCTGATACAACTCTTTTCAAAAATAAATATAATGTTACTAATCATTAACCTACCTTAGGGGAAAATTCTTTCTTTAATTGCTCCATACTGTCTATAAGAAATACTTTATCTGAAATGTTTCCGCAGGATGCAATGCTTAATGTCTTTAAATTAGGGAGGTAATTCAGCAATGCCTGAAAATACAAACAAGAGCCACTGTCAAACAGGGGCCAAGCTCAACTTTTCCTTATTCCCAAAGGTAAACGCATCAGAAGAAGAACATTGTAGTGAAGGGTTTTCAGTGAAAACATATTATTGTGAACAGAAAATTTGTATTTCTTACCTTGACAGTAAAGGTCATTTACAGATCAAAACATTTTAATGTCAAGGTCATATCTGAATTATTTAACATGTTAACTTTGTTATTGGTGTCGTTTTCTCTAATTATGAATATGATCTATAAATAAACAACAACAGTATCTCAATTGAAACAAAATTCCATGATTTGCCTTGATGGTCAAGGTCATTTCAAGGTCAATGCCAAACTTGAATATTTCAACATTTTGGTTTTGTTACAAGTGTTGTTTTATCTAAGTTTAAGTGAAATTCGTAAAATAAAACTATCACAATTAAAGTCAATGTCATAGTGCCACCATAGTGCAGTGATGGGTTAACTCCTATTAAATCCAATAGGAGTTAATACACTACTGCAAAGTTATGGCTAATTTAATAAAAATGTGATAACCTGACCTTTATGGTCAAGGTCAGTTTTAAGTCAAGGTCATATTTCACTTATATAATATGTTAGTCTTATGATTGTGTTACACGTCTTATGTCCACATCAGGATCAATTGGTTCATAAATTTCAAAATAATATTGGCAAATAAAAGCAAATTTCAACAACTGCCAAGGTCATTTAAAGGTCAAGGGCATATTTTAATTATTCAACGTGTCTTAAGAAGACAATCCATTTATTAAAAACAATATTATAGCCAGTTATATCAAAATCAAGCAAATTTTATAATTTGATCAAATTGAAGTTATTTATGAGTTTAGTTTGAAAGCAAAATTACTTACATGTACAACTTCATCAGTAACATTGGTATTTGACTCGACAATAACAGTTGTCAATGGAATTTCGAACAATCCAGTAAACGCAAATATATCTGGATGTATCAACTGTGAACAATCTGACAAGTTAATCCTATGGACATGACAACATCTGAAACAGTAAACCATGTTTCTTTTCCCACTTATCATGATATGAATTTTCAAAACTAAATTTTATAGAAAATAAACAGTAATTTACAAAAAAAAAAGTTTTCAGCTACATACAAAAACTATTTTACCAAAAGAATACAATCTTTAAATTATGAAATCATTACACAATTATTGCAGTAATGTTTAGTAATCTATTCACAAACTTACTGTGAAAGACATGAAGATTTCATCTTCCAATTTGTAAGTTCTGTTTCATTAAAAATGATAGACTTATGTACACAAAGTCAATTATAATAAATCAGATATATTTGACGTTTCCAAGGGTATCATTGAGTAAATGTAAATTTTTCTATATTGTGAGAATTATAAACTAAGCAGGACTTACTTTTTGAATAGTTCAACAAGTCCCATAAGATGAACATTTTGACAATCTTTGAGATTAAGGTCATGTACATGTAGTGGTGTTAGGGCATGCAGAAGACTGTCTGACAGCTGTTCAGGACAAAATTTTACAATTCTGTACAGGATCTCCTCAGTGACAGCTGTGAAGCAGTTTGTTTCAAGCAAAGTTGTTATGTATGGTCTAATCTGTGTTCCGGCTACCTCTGTAATGACGTCCTTCTGGCCATCTTCTCCAGTAGGATTTTCAAGAAGCAACACACGCATACATACCATAGTTGCAACAGATTTTAGAGACATAGGGTCAGGCATCTTTATTTTTTCTGAAAATAAATAAGACAGTTTTCTTACCAAAAATGTGAAGTTAAACTGTAAAGGCTCTGATGGAAGGGCTAAGCCCTTTAAAGCCCCTCTTCTTTTGATAAACTTGTGCCACTACTTCATATTAGTCTCATCACTTTTATGTTAATTCATATTCACTTATACATATTTCAGTTTACACTTCTGTATAATTTCAACAGCATAATGTTACAATAACATTTTAAACTTTATATGGAACTTCTCCGGTCCAGTGTTGATTTAGCTTGATTTTAAATTCATGAACACTTTTTGAGTCTACTACATTTTTGGCAAATTATTTCATGTTTTAATTACATGTCGTGAAAGCTGATGCAAGCAATTAGTTGTACTACTACGAGGCATTAAATTTTCTAGTTTTAAACCATGATCTCTTGTTGATGCAACTTAAGGTATATTCATCTAAAAAAACAAATGACCTGTACATGAGACTTAGGATACTGTTTGCTTTGTTAATCTTTGTAGAAATATGCTTGCTAACTTTTAGATTTTTTTTTCAAAAATAACTCCTAGATCACACTATTCGAATTTAATTTGTGATTGACAAGGGAACAAAACACTCTATCATCAAGAAACTTCATCCCTCAAACTTTGAAGACACTTTACCTGTTTACCCTGTAAATCATTGAAAAATGGTTGTTCATACATATGCCAATTATTCAATTGTCACTCAATTTAATTTCTTAATTTCGAAAATGAATGCTGTGTATAATTGAAATAACACTACCTGTGTAAGGAAAAATGTTTTCTCACTTCAAAATCGAGTTACTAAATTGCTAAAAATATGCATTTTTGTTTACATCGCATCTGATCGGAACACCCCGACAATTATCGTGATAATTCTAAAAGGGCCGAGAAGTTGCGAGTGTTGGAATCTGGAATAAATTTATAAAGTTACGCTTCTTACGGGAGCACCGTGTGAAAGCGGTCTCGGAAATTAACAATAAAATCCAACAAAACTGTTCATAAGTTATACAAAGTAAGCCTTATTTTATCAAATATTTAGTAAATAAACATATTGTATCGCAGTAATCCACTATTCCCTACTAGTTTAAGCAAAATGGATTGTCATATGTTTTCGCGATAGTGAAAAAAAAAGTCCATCAACTTAATCATGAACTGTAGTTCTATGTAGATCAGGCTTAATCAATGAAACTAGCTATAGCCTATTTTGTCAGAATTTTTTGTCACTTGCCAAATATGGTTTTTCTTAATTGTGTTTCTCTCAATTTTGGTAATTTTTCAAAAAAAGCATAATATGATTATGAAATTAGGCAAAGCCTATGAACTGGGAAGTCGTTAAAAAATCCTTTCATTCTTTCCGTTTTAAAGGTGTCATTCAGTAATATGAAATTAGGTGCTACCTATGACACGGAAAGCTCTTATGAATTATGATTTTAGCCTAACATATTTAGTGTAAATGTAAACCAGATTTTTCTTGAAGGGATTTTGTACCATAAACAAAACGAAAAAATTGGTAGTTTTCAACCTATCATCGGGGGACCTCTGCGCATGCGTCGGCGTTTGGAAAATCCCGTCCGCCATTTTTGTTAATCTCTAATCACAGTGGTAATTTTAACGTTATTTTTAAGTGCTAATTTATCAAAAAGGATATATTCAAGTACTTTTTTATATTTATAATTGTTAGTTTAATTCTTATCAATGAAATGCAGGTTTATTTTCTGATTTTGTACATCATTCTTTCACCGGAAGTGTTACTTAGCATGCGTCTGCTAGCAATAGTCTGAATTATGTAGACGCTCATTAAAAGCGCTCTGATATCTATATTTAGCTCAAAAGGATTTCAAAATGGCGGCGCTCAGTTAACTAAGGATTTTTTCACAGCTCATTAGGTATAGGATATGTATTTTTTTGAAATTTTCATTTAGTTTGAATTTGATTTCATTTGAACTGATACGCGTCATACATGTTATCTAAGAGCGCTACAGCCCTCGCGGGGCCTTCGGCCCCGCTCGGACTTTCCGCGTATTACATACACCGCTTCCGTTTTCACTCGGAACACTCGACGATTATTACTTATCCGAAAAGTTGAGATTTGTTCTGTTATCGGAATACCCCGCCTATTATCATTGAGTTACATTGTAAATGGCGGCGCCAGACTAGAACTGACACTGAAAATTTCATTGATAGGTATAGAATTCTATGTATTTTTTAATTGTTTTTTATTTGATTTTCTTTGAAATATACACGTGTAGTCTATAGGAATTACGGACATTTCGGACCACGGACGTTTCGGACCAGACACTTCGGACCAGATTTTTTGGTCATTTCAGACCAGATTTTGGGACATTTCGGACCATGTGATGACACTTCGGACCAGCACATATATTCCTTTTTATATGTAATTATTTGTTATTTCAGGATGTATTTAAATATATTTTCTAATAATTAATGCAACAAATATTTGACATTGTTATTTTTTATGATATTCAAAATGATAATATATACAATAAGTACACACACATACACACGCAGAATATACCTATTTAAAGTCAATTTTAACCAAATTAAATCGTGTTCTAGCAGGTATTAAAGAACAACGACATCCTTGTCGATCAATGCAGTTTTTCACACGTTTTAATTGCTGTATAGAACTCGTTTAAGTTACGTTTCACTCAATTAAAGAAGTATATGTATGCAATTTTCACCTAATTTGACAACAAATATTTAAATTGATTGGATTTGATTGGAATGCGATTAAAGTACAGTTTTAACAATAAACAAACAATTTCAATTTCAATTTATTTATTCACTCAGATCATACAAACATGACAACATGAGGTAATAATACAATTACATAATAAATGAGGCTTCAGAATCAGACAGTATCAAAATAACATTTTATATAAATTGTTAACATAAATATTGCGGGAGAGTCAGTATTAAAACATATACTTCAATAGGGTTCTCCACAGCATTAAATTTATACAATTTTTGGCTCATTTGAATCTTAATATAATTTCTTTAATAAATAAACAAAGTTTTTTGTAATCTGGAATGTTAACATCAGTGTTCATAAGAAGATCAATAGAATGTATATTATGTTTCTGTAAATAGTTATGTTTCAAAAAAAGTTTCCTGCTGTTATCAAAACAAGGACACTCAAAAATATAATGAAATTCATCACCAATTGATCTATCACACAGTGTACAGACACGTCTGTTAAGTTCGATGTTGTTCCAACTTCTGGTTTCTACTGGCAATTTGTTATTTCTTGTTCTAAATTTTATCATGTATTGTAAAAATTTTGATGGAGTTTTTACAAGATATGTTTCAAAACAAAAATTATGTTTGAATAATCTATAATTTATACATTTACTAGAATTCTCAATACCAGAATACCACTCATTTAAAAATAAATCTGATAATTTTTGTTTGACTGACATCGTTAACCATTTATGGTTATGAAATTCATGGTTATGCCAAATGTTATACAGACCACATTCATACAAAATATTCTGAACAAATTTTATCCACTGAAATCTTAATCTAGATACAGTCTGGGAGTTATTAAAATTATTTAACAAAATACGATATATCAAACACGGTAACTTGTTCTGTTGTGGTATGACTAAGTCAGACCAATATGATATAATTCTACATTTAATTTCAATAGATAGTGGTTTAACACCAGTTTCACCGTAAACCATACAATTTGGTGTACTTGACTTTAAACCTAGAATATATTTTAAAAATTTAAGCTGTACTCTTTCAATACAATCAATATTACCAAAACCCCATATCTCACATCCGTACAGTAGGACAGGTTTTACAATTTTGTTAAATAAATCTATTTGCATGTCAATTGGCAATTCTAACATTTTACATTTTTTTATAAGACTATACATAGCTTTGGACCCCTGTTTCACTGATTATAATTGATGTCCAGACTGCAATATAAAAATGTACTTTTGTATATACTTTATAATAAATTTTTGCAAACGTGTCATTAAAACCTTGTTTGTTTGGTCCGAAATGTCCAAAAATCTGGTCCGAAATGTCCCTAAATCTGGTCCGAAGTGTCCAAAAATCTGGTCCGAAATGTCTGGTCCAAAACGTCCATGGTCTGAAATGTCCTATTACCGTCTATAGCCGGGCAAGCCAAAGCCCGGACCCGCTTCGCGGGCCCGGTCTTTGACTTCCCCGTAATATGAAATCTATAGGCAAAACAGAGAAAACAAGAAAAGAAGAGAAAACCTCAAACTCGAAACAAGCTCGATTTACTTTTACCATGAAATAGTATAAAATAATTGTTCATTTTTATTTTAATTCTCCGTTTTGATACTGTTGTTCGGTATTTAATACACTGCTTTGGATTTGTCTGGCATGGAGCTAAATATAAGATGGAGAAGAGACTGTGACGTCACACAGTTAAAATCAGTATCTCCGAAATTGTTTTCCCCCAAGTTATCATATGTTGCGAGATTTTGCGAGATTTGATGCATCCTGGGTAAAAGTAGCCATAATACCGCCATATTGAATTCCCGGAGGTACATTAACAAAAAAGACTAAACACTTTTTACTTATATAAGAAGCAATAGTTATTTATTCTAAAACATACAAAATACACTTCCACACAAATATTTCTCCGATGAAAATCCATGTCGGCAATGTAAGCAATAATTCACGAATATCGCCAAAGTTTAACTTTAGCGTGAAAATCGGGAGACTTGTGGGATTGTGGGTCTGAATCAGACTCTCGTCTATTTTTGGAGTTTCCTATCCGTTGTTTATATATCTGTGATTCTGGTTCCCTGTCCCATTATGGTTCCCATAGAAGTGAGCAGGAGACCAGTCTACGCATCCGTTTTCATAATCAGATTTCCTCGGCAGGGTGTCCGTTTGACCCTCGAAATGACCCTTCAAATTTCAAAAAGGCCTGTTTTGACCCTCAGGATTTTAACTGGAGGTAAAATTTTGTTATAATCATGGAGATTTGGCCTTGTAGTCGGTGAAAATGACCCTCAGGATTTAATGGCTAGTGATCACCCTTCTCGGCTTTTTTCATTAACTTGTAACTTGAAAAGGTGCGATATGTCAATTTCAGTACTTCCGGCGAAAGTTTTTAAAACCATCACTATCTAGCAGGTACTCGCGTTACCATAAAGCTTGCTTTATAGGCCCTTTACTATACATAGTATATACAAGATATATAACTTGTTTAGTGATTATTCTAGCGCGGAATGACAGGGCGCTCCGCCCTGCCCCTTTTTAGGTCCGCCCTTTTGCCTCTAAAACACCGCCCGTATACTGAAATGCGCCCCGCTGCCCTCTTTTACCTGTACCCAATCAATATGTATAAGATAGATCTACATAAAAAACCTGTCAATCACTTATCTATAAGATAAGATTATGATGTTGACACGTTCCAATATACAAACCTGGTGCCCCACGGCGATAACAATTGACTGACCGATGTGAAGTGGGCCGTGTGAAGCGGCCCCGTGTGAAGTGGTTTCGATCAAATTAGCTATGTTTGCAACAGTTTGAAATGATTTGTAAGGAACATTACCGACTGATTGATAATCCGTGGTCATTAACTGATTAAAATGGCAATGATTTACGGAGACAATCGAATTGTAATGCATTCGCTTATTTGTTTGTTCACCAATGTCGCGTATGTCGGTAAAAATTCGTATACTGTACAACTTACAAGTACAGGTAATTACAATTAATTATTTACACATATTAATCTCTATAATTGCGTAAAGAATCTTTAAAGTCATAAGGATGGGTGTTATGGTTTCATTAATTAGTTGTTCATTTGAGAAACAAAATGCCGTCTGCGAAAAGGAAATTTGCAGAAATTGAAAAAGAGCGTGCGAAAATTCGCAAAACAAACCACAGTATTTCCTCTTTTTTGTAGCTAAAGAAAGGTACGATTAAAGTTATTTACATTTGCTAAGAATCGATTTTAAATGTGTTTCTCCCTTGCAATTCAACATTTATATAAAAGGAGGTGAATGAAATAATTTGTGTACGAAGCCACTACACTAGCAGTACGGCCCTGGACTGAAGTACGGTCCTGTACTGCCGTACTGCAAGCCGTTCGTTACATAGACTGTATAGACTAATCGTACGGTAATTTTACAGAAAATAAACAAAGACAATTATGAGTAAGCGAATATTTGTCTCCAGCTGTAAGACATTTTAATGAATTGAATGAATTATTAATCTACAGATTAACCGTTTTTCTGCGGTTGAAAGTCGGGAGATTTTTTTTTATGAAATAGTACAGTAACAACTACAGTTAGAATCTATTAGTTACCTGTAAAATCATATGTGAAATATAATTATAAATTGCAAGATAATGACAATTGTAATCAATTTCAATCAATTCGAAATTAGATTTACTTTATAAAGATAAAATCGTTGGTTTTTCTTTGAACATCTCTGTACAGAGTACAGTACATGATAATTTTTTTTAGCTAAATGTGACTGTTGTTGTGAAATATAAAAGATGACTGAAGTAATTTCAATAACTTGAAATTGTTTTATAACCCAAAATTAATTAGAAAATTAACCAGTCTTTCTATATTATTACAGAGTGACCTAAAGTAACGAACCAATTATCACTGCTCAAAGTACAGATTCAAATAATGAAACAAATTCCAAGTTATAAAAGTTTTTAACATGAAACCTTAAAATTTACATAAAATGTGACAATGTAAATGTAGCCCTGCAATAAAGTCATTGATACAAATATATACAGACAGTACAATTCTTTCATTGAAATATAATTTCCATGAGCTTTAAATCTATAAAAATAGGACAGAGGACAGTCATGAGAAAAGTGAACATGAAACCTTCAAAGACACACATGAACAAACAAATATTATGACATTTTCTTTAAAATTGTTCACAACATTTTTAGCACACACAAAATTAAGCTGTTCATTGTAACACAATTAAATATATAATTGTCTAATCACTTTTTTGCCAGAGTGGCATACAGAACTATTCACCTTCTTGAGGTACATGCATCTATTATTTCAGTCACAAACAGTTCTTAGTTTATCTGTCTTGGTTTTAAGCTGTGCCACTTTTTAACAGTTCTCTCAATGTCTAGGTATTTATCATTTCTGTGAATCATAAGAAGCTGATGCACACTATTGACACTATCACCATAAATATAGAAAATAAACACCACACTGAACCAAGTAACAAGAAAGTGTTGAGATAAAGGGAGGTAATTAATCTACTGATAAGATATGAGTTATCTGACCATGATTATCATAACGGTCATAAACTATCTGTATTGACACATGTTCCACCCTGCCCCTTTTTGATGCCTCCCTGCCCCTTTTTCAAGTCTAGAATAATCACTATTGTTGTAGCATATTTCAGAACATTGTCTAGAGTTGTTATTGTGTTTATTAAAAATAAGACATACCATTCATACATAGCATGATAGATATATATCTTTCAGTAACTGTTTCATGTTCAATATATGGTGTCTTCTATTTTATTTAATAATATGAAATTAGGCAAAGCCTATTAATGGGGAGTCGGTTAAAAAATTGTTCATTTTTCCGTTTTAAAGGTATCATTCAGTATTTTATGCACTGTTTCCGTTTTCAATCTGAACACTCGAAGATTATTATTTATTTAAAAGGTTGCTATTGTCCAGTTCCTGGCCTTTGTCTTCCCTGTATAACGAAATATCAAACTTGAATATTGCCCAGGTATAAATGTCATATCCAATCATCTTGATACTGTGGCTGAACAATTATAATTGAAAAAAGTTGTTGTTGTTTTTTTCTTCAGATATTGATTGAGTTTGGTTGTCAGCTTAGCTATGCCACCAACTTCAGAAGGACACAATATGAATATGGGACCGGGGCATATGGGGATGGGAGTAGGAACAATATCATTGGCTACATTGATTGATTTTATAGTACAAAGAACTTACCATGAGCTTGTTGTCTTGTCAGAAATGTAAGTAAATTGTGTCATTATTAGATCTATTATAGCTATTTTAATATAGTGAATACTAAATTTATCTGATTTTGTGATTTGTGAATGAAAATACTACAGATTTTTTTTATCTTGTATTTTTAAAACAAAAGAAACCATGCCTTGCTTTCCACTTGCTAGTGGATATGTGAGTTTTTGTTACTGAGGCCATAATTGCATTAAGCTGTTTTTATGTTGCACCCTTAATCACCCGTTTTGAAAACCATGCAACAACATCTTGCATGATCATGTGATATGATCGGCTAATGCATGTTTTCTTCTCTGTAAGTGTATACCAGGGTGCGCAGCTATTATGCAAGAATCAACAATAAAGTTAAAATAGAAATGATTTTAGTATCATTATGTTATTGAACATTAATTTATATACCACTTTGTTATAAATACTATGTTATATTTAAGTTTCATTCAGCTTGAACTACTGGTCTATTACGTATTTCTTTTGTTTTAATTTTGCAGCCTTCCAAGGAAAACTGATATGGAGAGGTATATACCATTTTGTTATCACCATAATTTGATTGTTTCTTTATATCTATTCAAGGACTTTGACTTTGATTTTTTAAATGTTTTTGATATTCACTCTCAAATCTTTATTTGGAAATGTTTACTATTTTAAGCCCCTTCCCCCCCCCCCCCCCCAAATGATATTTGTACTGAAGGAGTGCTTAAGAATCGTCCACACAACCTGTCTGTTGTAAGGCAGTCATACATGTCTGAAAATGAATGTTATAACTTAAAAAATATATATTATAAGTATATAAGATGTAATACCTCTATAGCAGTCATTTTATGGGGTTTTTTTTGGCTGAAGTCGAGGAAATAGTAAAAAAAATGGTACAATATAATTTTATAAAAGATATACCTTTAGTCAACTATTTGGTATAAATAGAGAATACTATGCCAGTGTCTGATATAATAAAAGTTATCAGTCAAGGCTAAGAAAAAAAGAAGGGCCTTGCCCTTTTTCGCCCTCCTTTTTTTTTTCAGGCCGTGCCTGATAAATTTTATAATATCAATACTTATTTGGTATTTTATTTAATTTTCAATTTTAGTATATGCTTCTTTCTTTAGATTTCAAATGAAACGAAAAAATGTTAAGAACCTCTTGAGTTCATGCCCGCATAGTAATATGTCAGGGGTCATATCATGTATATATATGGTATGTTTTAATGAGAGTTTGACTTGTTATTACAGGAAGATAGAGATAGTGCAGTATGCCAGTCGTACCAGACAGTTATTCATACGTCTTCTCGCATTGGTCAAGTGGGCTAATAGTGCCAGTAAAGTGGATAAATGTGTGGTAAGACTTCGTTTTATTATATCAGTATACCGATGTTCACATGCCCCTACCTTATAAATGTCCCCTACAGGAACACCATTCTACATGCACATCTAAATTCTTCCATGGGCTTTCTTAATGCCAGTCAAAATAAAGCAGTAAGCGGTTTCTTAAATGAATATGAATCAGTGAAAATAAGCATTTAGCTAAGAGTAATAGTAATTAAACACAATGTATTTTAATTTGTTTACAAAATGCATCACCACTTGCGGGAGCTAATATTGGGATAAATGGTAAAATTTCCAACATCAAGGGTTTGATTATGTTCTTAAAACACTGATAAAAGTATTGTATATTTGTAGGAGATTTGTAACTTTCTGGAGCAACAATCTATGTGGTTTGTAGAGACAGCTGATACCTTGTCTAGAATGTCCAGAGAGACCCTTGTCAATGCCAGGTAAAATATTTAAGCAATCATTCTCCCCCTCAAAGGTTATAATTTGGTTTTTGTTGACAACTAGATTGCTTTTACACACAAAAAAAGAATATTGCTTAAAATGTAGGTTTTTACTTCCATTGCTGTTTTAGACAGCAATTTATTGAGAGAAAAACTTGAGGCCAAAGTGGGAATAATTTTTTAACAAATCTTAATTTGAGCATCATATTTATAAAATAAAACCATAAAAAATTGTGTAACAGGATCTTTAAGGGATTGTACATGTTACAGTTTTGTATATGTTTATTGAAGGAAAAGCATATTGGATGAAATGAATGCTTGATAATAAAGATATTTTTCAAGTTCTGATTTTATCCGTAAAGTCAAGGATACAAAACAACAAACAATCTATAATATGATGTAACAAAGTACCCTACTTACATGTGTAGTCATTATGTTTTGTTTTCAGGTTACCAAATTTCTCATTACCCTGTGCAATTGATGTGTTGACGCTGGGCACATATCCAAGACTCCCAAAATGCATCAGAGTAAGTCAACATTTTTATTTTCACAAATTCTATTGAGTGTATTTTAAGCAAGTGGTCTGTAAGCAAAGTTTTGTTCTTGACTATCATTTCTCTTTTATGTAGGAACGAACAATCAGGTAATGCCTAGGAAACTGTAGAAGAATTCTATTTTCAGACCAGTTAAGGATATATTTCCAGTGTATAGAGGATATTGAATGAGTGTAAGTTCAATACTGAATTTACTGCACCAGTTTAATAAAATATTATAATGCGAGCCTCAGATGAGCATGTTATTATTTTATTCAATGAGTTCAATAAATTCAGTAATGAACTAACACAAATTTAATATTCTTTTTATCACATACCCAAAATAAAGACCGTTTATAGTGAAAACAGAGAAATGTTCAGTGACACGCCTATAGTATAACACTTACATAAGCCCGTCTTTACACTACGTTTGTATAAAGCTAATGATGTCACATCAAAATATATGCACGGCTGTGAAATACCATTTTTAGGGAGTCACAAGATCGGTATGGGTGTGTGATAAATACAAGTAAGATTTCTCCCAATTGTAAAAAGAAACCAAAAATCCAAATAGATTGCATTTTTAGTTTGACTATCTGAAGAATAAGGAGTGAAGGAAAGGTTTTGTTTTCAATTTGAATATTATTGACAGTATTCCCTAAATGAAATAAAGAGATTAATTTTATTATTTTAGGAAAAAATAGTCCCACCTGACCCAATTACGCCTACAGAGAAGAAGCAAGTTCTTCAGAGACTAAACCAGGTCATTCAGTACAGGCTTGTTTCATGTGAGTTACCACAGCAGATGAGAAAACTCAAAATTGGTATGTGTATTGTTACACAATGAACAATATTTTAGATCTTCATAATATTTTATGTTTATAACATAAATTGTAATTTGACGTTAATAATATTGTATGTTTGTAGCGTTAATTGTAAGTGGACAAATATGATATTTATAATTATCTTATTGAGCTATTGTACTCACCACAACCTTCAAGTTGATATCACCAAAATTGAAATTTCGCACACTCGTTCTCTGTGATTATTTAATATGATGGGCACAGGTCACATAACTCTGAGTTACTTTTACCAGAGTTATGCCTCTTTTCTTACTGTCAAGCGCTGATAATAGTAGAACATGTTGTCTTTTGGACAGCCTTGTTTATTTATCAAATGGAAGTGTTATCCTTCCTACCAATTCATTTTAGATACTAAACATGTTTGGGTTTTTATTGAAATCTTTCAATGAACTGAATAGATTTAAAACTCTGGAAAGGTGTAGTTAAAAGCATGCTCTTACTTTAGGGGCATATATTGTTTACAAATGTTTGTACAAACACATGATAAGCTGTTTAATACTTTCAATAAAATATGTACATTATAATTTTTGAAACATGTTTTATCCCAAAATTAAAGAAAATTATGTGTTTCTAAAAAAAATTCTGTATTATAAAAAGTAATTGATATTTAATATAGAAAATGGGCGTGTCAAGTTTTTAGTGGAGAATGAGTTCCAGGTGACATTGACCTTGATGGAGGACAGTCCTGTGATACCATGGCGACTGTTAGATATTGACATCTTAGTGGAGGATCATGAAACTGGTGGTATGTACTTTCAAGATAATGTTTTAGATGTTTCATCAAACTGTAAATATGTTGCCATAGATTTAAACATAGTCTAAAGGAAACACTTTTTACTCACATGTTAAATACAACCTTATGTTAATGGAAAAAATGTTTGTTTAAATCTAAGTACATCATCATGTAACCTCATCTAGGGACCTGTAGTTGCTTTGTTGATAAATATCAAATTAATTCCTTTAAAAATAGTACACATATATCAGTACAATATAATAAATTTTGAGAGAGAAATAAATTATCAGAATTCTCATATAAATCTAATTGAATAAACAAAGGTATTATTTCAGATGGAAAGGCATTGGTTCACAGTCTACAGATAGGTTATATACACAGACTGGCACAGTCTAGATTACTTGACAATGACAAGCCCCTACATGACTTATACAGAGTGCTTCGTATCCTTTTTAAGCTTGGCTAATGCAAGAATACGGAAAGCTATTCTACTTGTTTTGGCAGTTGTATTTTGGGTTTTACAAGCAAGCACTAAATGGGCTATACCGCAATGCCAAAAGCATGAGAGTCAAATTTTATACATGTATTTCCAGTTATCGAATAGAATTATATGAACTCAACACTAGCAAGCATGCATTGAAAATAAAGGCCCTTAAAATTTTTAAAGATTTCAGGCTGTTTTAGTTGGCATCCCCTTGACCAAAGAAAGTATTGATTTGAAATTTATCTTATGAATCATTGTTATAGGTCACAAAGTAAGACCCTAAAAAAGGGGGTCAGACTGTTGTAAATAGTTTAGCAGATTTCCCATGCACTTTTTAGGCATCACTGGCTTGCTGACTTTAAATGACTTTCCCATCTACTCTGTTTCATTCTTAAAAGTGGTTAGTATTGCTGTAGAGGAAGCTATGCAGGCTCTGCAGCCATGCCAAATATGTATGAAAATCTGTTTTATGGTACTTATATTATTAAAAAGAAGTTATTATTAGAGCTTTATTTTGTATTGTTTTCATGTCATTATTCATGATGATACATCTAGTTTATGATACTTTACCATTCATTCTTTAACCACATCATTAGATTCATTCTGTCAATCATTACAACTTGAAGTTCTCAACTCACAGGTAAATATTATATAAATATTGTATTGTTTATAGAAATGAACAAAATTTTCTCTTTACTCTGAAAAGGCAGTATCAAGATATTGAAAACCAAGATTTTAATTTTTTGCAAAGATATGAATTTATTTCTATAAAGAAAGGGAATGCAAATAAAGAAAGGGAATGCAAATAAAGTATCAATTTTGATGAACATTTTCTAGTGAGGTTTAAGGGATATAAAAGCAGTATTTGTGTAAAGAAGCTATCCAGCTTGCGTAAGGAAGGTGGATAATACTCCGCTGGTTCTACTCTGGTGAAATAAGTTATTGAAAGACATCTGAGATCTTCATACACCAGTTAAGCTGGTAAATTGGCATATGACCTTAACAGTGTTGGTGTGAATAGGAAATCAACTAAAAATGATAAAGGTCGATGTTGACGGTTAGTGGATTAGTTATTAAGAGAGTTCAAGTTAACATTTTGGGAAAAGTCAAAAATTGGTCTTTATTCTCGGGTTGTCATCTAATCCTGTTTATCTGTAAAAGGTCATTTTATATTGGTTTGTAAATATGTATAATTATATTTTTCACATATATTAATTACAGACACAGAAATTGATCAGAGAAAGATTGGGTGATTCTCTCAGTATAGACGAGTATGCTATGGGAAAATGTCTGACAGTTTCCTACTGGAAGTAAGTCCTTCTTGTCATTAACTCTTACAATGCTAGTGTTGAAAAGACTCCACTGAGGTTTTGTAACATGAGGGAAATGGTGATAATTTTCAAAGATTAATGTTCCATTTGATGTAGTTCTAGACCAAAAACTTGTGTGCAAAATTTCAGATTATTCGCTCGCCCCATTTTATCTAAAAAATGCTTTGCACTCAAATCTAGCTAAGATGAGCAAAATATACTATTTTCAATTTATGTCTGAGTATATTTCTTAATTATGCTATGCATATCTTTCTGTTTTAAATGCCCCAGTTGATCTATGTAAGAAATTCTAATTTTATGTTTTTAGACCTCAGTGGAGTTCCTTTAATAATGAATAAACTTTGCCTACAGCATAGAGTTTGACTAGCTACACATTCAGTCTGACTGGTCTCTATACTAATTATTCCTAAATGTTCAACATTTTTATATCAAAGCCCTTAAACATTAACTATACAGGACAAGTTATTTAATATATGAAGACATAAGGAAAATGAAGCTGTTTATATGTATATGAAAGTGGTATCTTTGAAATTGAAAATGTACACTTTGAAACAGCAAGGTTTGTTAAACCCTTTCACTGATAAAGTATCTTACATGGACACTTTTATCTTTGAGTCTCGACAAAACCATTCTTCATTTTTATGGAAATTTTCAAAATAAAATAAATGTAATGTCTGAACAGAAAACAGTGCAGGCCATGATCTTGGTCTGCACTGGCTGGTGGTAGAATTAGTTGCCATCACCAGGCAAAGAGTTTGACACATTATGAATTATTTTGATATTCAAGGTCAAGATTTCAGAATTAAGAAAATTTATTCTCTTTGAAATCATCTAACAGATAAGAGATGGATAGTTTTTGTGTTTCAGGAACTCATTTTATTTGAATTTTTAAATGTAAATTGTTAATGAAGTATGTTAATGTAATCTTTTTTATTTGCTATGAAGGACGAGTTTCACAACGGCTTAGATAGATTATAAGATAAATATATTCATTAAAATAAGAGAGAATGTTTTTATCTTGATCATACCAATAACATATATGTTCATGCAATGGTGTGTTTTCAGGGATCATACAAAGAAAGAAAAGGAGAAACAACAAGATGCTATAAGTAAGTGCAAATTGTCAAGATTTGGTTTGACTATTCTTATATTTTATCTAGATTAAATTATGGCAGTAAGTTAACTTTGATCATCCCTGCTCTTTCGTTGCTTTCCTTTCCAAACAAATGTAAGTTATCCCAAAGGGAAATACTGGGTTTCAACTTTTATAAACAGGAAATTCATTTTTGATTAGAAACATTTTTTCATTGTATCTTGTATTTTAAACTTCCAGTATAAGCTGAAACTGGCACTTGGCACTTGCTACCTTTAATTTTCAATGATACAAGTGCTAAGTATATTTTTGGACATTAGCTGCCAATCCTAATACTTCTTTACATTCCTGCAAATAGTTCCAGTATATATAAAAGCAGTCAGTTTCTTCTTATATATTTATACCCCCAAAAACGAAGTTTGGGGGGGTATATAGGAGTCACCCGGTGGTCGGTCGGTCGGTCGGGCGGTCGGTCCAGACGTCCGTTGCATTTTCCTTGTCCGGAGCATAACTTGAAAACTAATGGTTGGAATTCAATATAACTACATACAATGGTCAAGCACATTGAGAGGAAGTGCAGTGCACAAGAACCATAACTCTATCTTGACTAATTACAGAGTTATTGCCCTTTGTTACTTTTCCTTGTCCAGAGCATAACTTGAAAACTACTGGTTGGAATTTAAAACAACTTCATACAATTGTCAAACACAATAAGGGGAAGTGCATTGCACAAGAACCATAACTCTATCTAAAGTAATTACAGAGTTATTGCCCTTTGTTGCTTTTACATTGCTTTTTTTTTTGTCTGTTGCATTTTCCTTGTCCGGAGCATAACTTGAAGACTAATGGTTGGAATTCAATATAACTACATACAATGGTCAAGCACATTGAGAGGAAGTGCAGTGAAACATAACGCTATCTTGACTAATTACAGAGTTATTGCCCTTTGTTATATTTCCTTGTCCGTGGCATAACTTAAAAACTACTGGTTGGAATTCAAAACAACTTCATACAATTGTCAAACACAATAAGGGGAAGTGCGCAGTGCACAAGAACCATAACTCTATCTAAAGTAATTACAGAGTTATTGCCCTTTGTTGCTTTTCAATTGCCTTCTTTTTTTTGTCCGGAGCATAACTTGAAGACTAATGGTTGGAATTCAATATAACTACATACAATGGTCAAGCACATTGGGGGGAAGTGCAGTGCATAAGAACCATAACTCTATCTAAAGTAATTACAGAGTTATTGCCCTTTATTACTTTTCCATTGCTTTCTTTTGTCCGGACCATAACTTGAAGACTAATTGTTGGAATTCATTATAACTTCATACAATGGTCCAGCACATTGAGAGAAAGAACAGTGCACAAGAACCATAACTCCATTTTGACTTATTACAGAGTTACTGCCCTTTGTTTCTTTTACTTGTCCAGAGCATGACTTGAAAACTACTGGTTGGAATTCAAAACAACTTTGTACAATGGTCAAGCACAATAAGGGGAAGTGCAGTGCATAAGAACCATAACTCCATCTTGACTAATTACAGAGTTATTGCCCTTTGTTACTTTTCCATTGCTTTCTTTTGTCTGGACCATCACTTAAAGACTTATTGTTGGAATTCATTATAACTTCATACAATGGTCAAGCACATTGAGAGGAAGTGCAGTGCATAAGAACCATAACTCCATCTTGACTAATTACAGAGTTACTGCCCTTTGTTACTTTTCCTTGTCCAGAGCATGACTTGAAAACTACTGGTTGGAATTCAAAACAACTTCATACAATGGTCAAGCACAATAAGTGGAAGTGCAGTGCACAAGAACCATAACTCCATCTTGACTTATTACAGAGTTATTGCCCTTTGTTACTTTTCCTTGTCCAGAGCATAACTTAAAAACTACTGTTTGGAATTCAGTACAACTTCATACAGTTGTCAAGGACATTCAAAGGAAGTGCAGTGCACAAGAGCCATAACTCCATTTTGACAAAATACAGAGTTACTGCCCTTTGATACTTTTCCTTGTCCGGAGCATAACTTAAAACGTACTGGTTGGAATTCAAAACAACTTCATACAATGGTCAAGCATTTATTACAGAGTAATTCAATTAAACTTCATCAATGGCCAACCACATTGAAAGGAAATGCAACATACATGAACCACAATTATCTTTAATTGCCCACAACCATAACTCTATGTTTCAATTCTTTTACAAGGTATTCTGTTACTAGTAACATCCTCATTTCCGAAGCAGACTTGTGGGGGTATTAATCACATTTAGTGATAGTTCTAGTTTTTGTAAGTTGGCAGTCTTGACATTCATTTATTTTCTTGGATAAATTCAGCTCCATATTCTTATAATCTTAAAATTGCCCTTTAATATTTATTAATAGCTAGTGGAAAACACATTTAATATTTATTTTTCAAAGGTTCATGCTGTCTGTCCGCACAGATTTTTATGTTTCTGGATATAAACTACTGGTACATATATATGTTGTAGGATATAAGCTGTCCGTACATGTGAATGAAGAGGACGATGCCAAACAATTATGTGTTTCCCATGTTCCCTCTATGTTACCAGACGAGTGTCGAAGAATTGGCCTAACTATACAAAGTGAACATCTTTCCATAGAGAAATTACTCATGCAGACTATTGAGGTCAGAACAAGGTCAAAGTTAAAGGTATGTGATATTTGACAAATTAGATATCATTAGGAAACTCTATGATCAAATTTGTTATCAGAAAATATTGATAATTACAACACAGTCTCTTTGTAAATATGAAATAAACATTTTTTGAAAATACACAAAGTAGTTATGTTATGTTTTAAATTCTACACACTATAGGTGGTCACATTATGAATATATAGTGTTATTAAAAAAAACTGGCAGTTTTGTTTAAGAAAAGACCAACTTTATTTGACCAGGAATGGGAAATAAAGCTTCCTATACATAGTTTATTTATTGTTTTATTCAAATTAAACATATTCAGTAAGAATTCATAGATTCAGTAAAGTTCTGTGATTAAAATATTTTACTCAAGGATGAGCATAATATATCTTTAAGATTTGATGATAAAATTGAAGATACAAGTTCATTAATAGTTTTCAAGATTTGATGTTGTGGAAGTATTTAAAGGTTTGAAAAATTCTGCTTTCACAGAAATTACTGATTTTGTTAACAAATAATACATTACTGTAGAAAATAATATTTTATCAAGGAACATTTCTTATCAGAGGTTATTATTTTTTTGGTCCTTTGTGCAGGAAAACAGATATTTTGTGTACATTTTTTACAAAAATGACATTCAAACAGTTTTATTTCAATATTTAAGTATAAACTATAATTTCATGAACTATGTTTGAATTTCAGGATTTGTCCTACTCCATTCAAAGATTTATAGAAGGCAAATGTGAGTAATCTATTTATTGTTCTGATCTGCTTATTCCAGTTTAAAGATCCTACTCTTTCTTTCTGAAAGGTCCAGATTAAAATTTAATATACACTACCTTTGCATTTTGATATGATATTGATGTATTTATTTATATATTCTTAAACCTGCCTTTCATGCTTAAGGTAGCACATAGGTAGTCAACTGTTAAACCAAACCAAAAAAATAACTTAAAAAATGGTACAATAATCCTAATTCTTAAAAAATATTCTGTCTTTTTGAATAGACAAAAAAAGCATAATTTGGGTAACTGATTATATGGAGATTATCAATTTTATTGTATATAATTATAAATCTTAATATAATGTTTTTTCCCCCATACTTTTACAGGTGAGATCAAAGATTTACCCCTTGCTTTACACGTGCCTGTAGTATATCCGTGTACGTCTTCGGAACAGCTGCGTATAACTGTAGATGCTCAGAGAGGAATATTACTGGCTTCATTACCTTCTCTAGGTAACTGTTAATATGTTAGAAATATGTAACTAAATACAGGTGCTGAGACAATATGAATACAATGTAATTGTAAGTCATTGTTTTAACTATGAATTTGATTAACAATTCATGAGCGTGTGTGCTAGCTTGTTCCCGTCAGCTGCCTGATCATATCTTAAAAAAAAAAAGGCACAAAGAGGCGTCTGAGGACTCCCTAAATGTCTGTACGAAAACTGCTGAAAAGATCCTTAATATAAGTTTGAAGAATATGCTTAACAATCCAACTAAAATGAATATATTCAAATTACTATGCCGCAACTGAATGTTTTTGTACATACCACATGTTTATCTGTTTTAGAATTACCAGTCATGCAGGATCTTGAAGAGACTCTGAATGGAGATAGAAAAAATATACAGAAACATCTTGTAAGCTTGAGGTAGGTTAAAAGTTTTGCTTTTTGTATCGTTCATATTGCCAATATCTAGTATGATGATAAGATTTACTTTTGTAGCTTGTTCTGCCCATTTTGTTTAAAATATTATCAAATTATGGTCTTGAATTGGAAAGAGGAAGAGAGTAAAATATTTTGATACATTTGTTATAAAAATGAAGACATGAACACTCTAAATGCCAACAAAAAAGGTATTCAGCGTTCTGCATCTTCCTAGAATAGTGCACAGAGCCACGAGAAAACTTTATTAAGCTTCTGAATGATTAAGATTTTTTTTTCTTTGGATTTTTTGCAGCATGTTTTGTAATACAAAGCACAGAATCAGCAATATTGACTATATTACTGTTTGCTACATTTTAGGTTACAGATGACTATATTACGTTGTGACAAGTCTGTGAACTGTCTACATACAGAAGCTTGTCACAGTTTACCATTAGTGAACCAGGTAGACCATGGTCTAGATGATCTACCTAAACACAGACTTTATGTTCCTGTACCAAAACAACCAAACCATTATGTGGTATGTTTAATAACCTTTTACCTTCTCGAACTAAAAATGAATAGCTTTTGCCACCAGTATAGAGCCAGACCAGTCTGTACATCCATGCAGTCTGACCAGGCTCTATACTGTTGGTAGCTCAAATTTGATGCTTGAACTTTTTTAATAGTATCTAAACAATGAAGCAGGTGACTTTTGAACAAAGATTATTTGATTTCAGATTCTCAGAAAAATTTTGGATTGTTTCTTCTAAATTGCTTATTGTGTCAATTATTTTGGGAAATTATTTAGATCAGTCATCTGTTATTCCCCGTAATAGCAGGAATAATTTGCCTATTCTGATGCAAAAATAACATGACACTATCTCAAAAAGAATTGTAACCCGGTAACATTCATATAGTTGCAAATAATTTTGTAAGTCACCAATAATGTACCATATATGTTTGGTAAAATTAAAGAAATATCTATTTTAGAGATACCCTGATTTTTAAAGTCTCTTCCGATTTATGTATATTCCATGTATTTAAAAAAAATATCACCCTATTTTGGTGTGATGTGTTAATATAAAATGCATTTTTTGTCAATTGTAGGTTTATAAGTGATTTTGATAATTTTATGTCAACAACAAAGGTATTTTCATGTACATATATTGATTCAATATTATACAGGTTGCGTGTGTAGAGGATAATCCACCTAGATCTGTAGAACTGACCTATCATCTACTAGAGACAGCACCTTGTCCAGCAGAGGGAACTGAAGTTGAGATTGGGGAGGATAACTCTGTCAAAACTTTCCTTAAAGCTGTTAGACTTGTTCCCCTTGATACATTTGCCTTCACAAATGGTCCATACACCAGTATATATAGTAAGTTTTAGCTAATAGTTATTGAAGATATCAGTACATAAAGTATTTATTATTTTAATCATTATTATGATTGAAAAATAAACATCATTCTTATGTCAATGATCATGGTATGCAGATACTGCATATGTCAAAAGACTGGGAAATGATAAAACTTCATATTCAGTATAGTTGTGAATTTATACTTCCCCCTGGTTTAGATTTCTCATTAAATTTTTCAATTTAAAAACTTTATGGTAATTTAATGACACAACAATGTATATTCAATATTTGATAGAGAGAAATAGAAATGGTCATTGTAGACAGGAGGATGTTTAATTTATACTCTGTTGAATTTCTTATCTGTACTTACCGGTATATATGTACTTGGCCAACTTTTCCCAATATCACTATTGGGAATATCAAGAAAATTTGAAGCTAGTCATCCATTTGTTAAGAGCCTTGTCAAATTTCATAGATTTAAAGTGTGTCATAGGTTGATACAACGGTGAATTACATTAAATAATTTTAAACCTTATATAATCAGAATTCAGTAAATAGCGATAAAGAATGAGTGATTGTAAATAATCTAATGCCCAAGATTTTGAAAAAATAAAGTTAGAATTTCTTTGGCACGACAGCATTACAGTAAGACTATCTTATGTTCAAACATTGTAAGAGTTATAAAAAGAATGCACAAGTATCATTAACGTATTTGCAGTCCAATGATGAGTTCATCCTTGCTCGCGTATTACATTCATTGAGATGGTTGACACTAAGTGTCTGTCTGTCGAGAAGAATGTATGCAGATATCTTTATGGCAACCTAGAGATACAGGACATGTGGTCCTTCTCTGGGTCTGAGGACTGCTTTTAAATCATATAGAATACATTTGACAACTTTATCAAGATACCAAACGTGTACTTATGTCTCCTCATATACTTATTTTAAAAAGTGTCATAGGTCAACAATGGTGACGGAAAGTTAAAAATTCCATTCAGGTTCAACTTTGATATGATAATTTAATAAATGCAAAAGTAATCATTTCTTAAGGACGAGTCAATAAATAAATTCATTTGCCTTTTCTCGTTTAACTTATTAGATTGCATAAAGTTCTTTTTACAAATGATGCAAAAAACATCAACCAGAAATACCAGACATGGGGTTTTCCTTTTCGGGCCCCAGGCTCTTTAAATTATAGAATCAGGCAGGTTTTCAAAGAAAATTAAACTGAATTTACCCTTTCGTTAACTTATTTTAGCTCCTCATTTATTTTAAATTTTTGTTACTATCATTTCATGGTACCCCCCCCCCCCCCCCCCCCCCCCCCCCCCCCCCCCCCTTTGCCCAGCTGTATTTTTCCATGTATGTTTGTATGTTATTGGACTCTGGAATTTGGGAAGTATTGGCACAATGGATTCTCAAAACTTGACCAAGTAGCACTGATTTAAACAAACTTTTCAGATTTAAGGTCAAGTAGGTCAAAAGGACTGAAAATTGAAATTAACTATGGATATGTATGTATGTAAGATGGTTTTATAGTCAGTTTTTCTGCATCACAAAGTCGATAGAGCAATTGTGTCCAAAGTTTACACATACATTTTTTGTAAATAATGAATAACCTATTCATTAAAAACATCATTGCGAAATACTAATGTGTTGCAAATACTTATAGTATTATGCTTACCATATTCCATATGTATCTATAGTGATACAATGTTGTTTTAAAACTTTGGCGTAATTTGAGTTGATAATTCTTCACACCTTTAAATTGCAGAAGAACCTGAAGAATCAGAGATTGAAAGTTTCCATAGAAAAAGAAAGGTAATGATGTTTTTTTATGTGTGTTGAGTCTTCTGTCTAAAAGGATTTGTCAAAGGTTAATCATTAATATGCTGGAACTTTAAAAGATTTGGGTTTGCTGCCAGTATAGAGCCAGGCCAGCCAGCACGATATTTGTGTAGTCTGACTATAGCTTAACTTTTGTAATTTTGATTTTGAAATCACAAGTTGAAGCACAGGGCAAATTCATTGCACTATTTCAGCAGGTTAAGGTTTAAGTAGCAGAATAATAGAATTTTATTATAGGTTTAATTAGTATGTTATACATTGAGTTGATGTTAATTACTTGATTTACAGACAGTGATAGTAAGATATTGATGAGCTATCAGTATAGACTCAGGCCAGTCTGCATATCTTTACAGTTGTACTAGATACTATAATATTTACAGCTCATCTTGAACATTTTGAAATCGCAATTCCTTAAACTTTACAATGGACAATTCCATTGCTATGCAGCCAAAGTGTAATTTTAGTCTCATCATTCAAAGGATATTTTGCAAAGAAACATATGAAAAAATGTGTATGTTACTTTAAGATCTTGTTGCTAGTTAGTCTCTTTATCCATGGTGATATTAACATTGTTTTTATATCCCCACAACTTAGAGAGGTGATACAGATTTACCATTGTCTGTCTGCCCTGCTATCACAACAATACTGTTAAAAATAAGGATATCTGTATTCTATGGACACATTTCAAGTTGAAATGGAGGTGGCTTATGATATTTAACACAATTTTTTATCATTGACTTACTCGTAAAACAGATAATTTACACTTGTTGTAGTTGTTACTTGGAGAGTACCTTGAGCCTGTTGGGAAGAAACAGAAGACATCACCATATTTTGTAACAGATCTAGTACATGTTGTGGCAGCATGTGAAGAGAAACTACCATTTGTGTTCCTAGGAGAAGAGGTATGTTCTCAAAATTATAAAACTTTCCTAATTTAAAAATGATAAAAATAATTTATGAACCAAAACAAATTATCAAGACATGTTTTGTTTTATTTAGCCTCTTCAGTTGATATGTCCCCATAGCTTATTAGCGAGAGCTTCAAATGAGTAATCGGGGGTTGGGTTTGCCAGTTAGATCGTCAGGTGAACGTAATTTCTACATGATAGTTGATCTGGGTCATTTGTCACTCACCACTGATTCATATAACAAATGTGACTAGTAGTTGGTTGCTTGTAGAGAAATTCATAATTACTAGTTAGTTATCAAGTTAGGAGGATCAAATGCTGAAATTTACCACCCAAAAAAATTTTAGAATCAGCATTAAAACTAGGAAAACAAACAAATGAAATGATAAATATCAAAGGAACTTGTCAGTACTACAGGGCCTTGACAGATATTGTTTGCTGCAAATATATTTTGAAAGCTTCATGTCTGAAGTTTTTCTCCCCTCCTGGCCTTGTGATGTAACAACAGGCATTTAAATCCTTATATCTGGAATACTGCAAGCTCTAAGAAAATTTGGGAAATTACTTTTATAGTTAGAATTGAAATATGGAAGATCTTTAACTGCAGTTACAATGAAAAGCATTTTTGTTTCCTCCATGTTTCAATACATTTTCAACCATTTAAGGTATGGTTTTATGATTTTTATCATTTACCAGAGTTTTAAGAACATTACCTATTTGTATCAACAAACTAACCGTAACATAATTTTTATTCTACAAAATTTGCAATATTTTGTAATTACATTAGTTAAAAAACATCCGTATATTGTAACATTGTATTATAGATAAAATCTTCCATGTTTATCAAATGCATGTTATATCTGCAGTTGAAAGAACAAGGTATTTTACACACTAACATACAAGTGGACAAAGAGGCTATGGGTCTTGTAATGGACATTATACAGTAAGTATTATAGTTGTATAATATTATTTTGTGCATTGTATTGTACAAAAATGCATCATCTTATATTGTTGTTCCAGTCAATGCCTTATTCTGAATCCGTCATTAGTTTCTCTGATTACCATTCGGGATAAATTCTTTTATTTGGGGAGGCAGTTTTGTTATTTGTAGAAATGTTGCTGTTTCCACAAAGGTTGTGTTTTGTGCCCAAAATAATCTATAAAGGTTTGACTTTGGCACCCTTTCATAACAAAGAGTTACATTTTGATTTCTTGCATCAAACCCAATGCAACCAACAAATGAAATAGATAGCATATAAAATATTTGATGTTTGGAGATAAATTGTGTAAAGAAAGTGGTATAATATCTGATCTGGTAGTATGATCATCAACATTAACATTCTGCTTACATAGCTGCTGAAAACTGAGATAATGTCATGGTAATTAAGCCAAAGAGTTGTTATTGAGCCCAAAGAACTGAAAATGTGACAAAAGTGAAAGGTTTTGTGATTTTTTTTCTTGGATAGATTAGTTTAAGATGTGAAAATACTTAAAATTTTCAGTTTCCCGGATGTACCTGGTGTTAAGAAGGCTGATTGTAATGCATTTAGGAAATGTTTGCTGTCATGTAAAGTCAGAAGTGTAACAAAACCAGCTCGATTCTGGCAGATTGAGGTAAGTTTGGATTGAAATTGATTTTCATTTACGTGTATTGTAACTTCTTGGGCCATCCTTAAAAAAATGTTTGTTTGCAGTAACCCTACCCAGAATTTTCAAGGGGGGTAGGTATGTCGATTTTTATGCCCCCGCCATGTAATGGCCGGGGCATATAGTGTTACCCTGTTCCGTCATTCAGTCATTCCGTCATCATCAGTTTCCGTTCATTATCTTAGTAACCGTTGCACACATTCAACTCAAATTGACATATGGATATGTGATGAGAAAATACAGGTCAAGTTCGAATTTGGTCATGGTTTGATGTTTTTTGGCAGAGTTATGCCCCTTTTACTTTAAAATAATATGAAATTTTCAGTTTCCGTTCATTATCTCCCCAACGGTACAACACATTCAACTCAAACTTGACATATGGATATGTCACGAGAAAATACAGGTCAAGTTCGAATTTGGTCATGGTTCGATGATTTTTGGCAGAGTTATGCCCCTTTTACTTTGAAAATAATATGAAATTTTCAGTTTCCATTAATTATCTCCCCAACGGTACAACACATTCAACTTAAATTTGACATATGGATATATTATGAGAAAATACAGGTCAAGTTCGATTTTGGTCATGGTTCGATGATTTTTGGCAGAGTTATGCCCCTTTCACTTTGAAAATAATATGAAATTTTCAGTTTCCGTTCATTATCTCCCCAACGGTGCAACACATTCAACTCAAACTTGACATATGGATACATCAAAGGAATGCGCAGGCCAAGTTCAAATTTGGTCATGGTTCAATGATTTTTGGCAGAGTTATGCCCCTTTCACTTTGAAAATAATATGAAATTTTCAGTTTCTGTTTATTATCTCCCCAACGGTACAACACATTCAACTCAAATTTGACATATGGATACGTCAAAGGAATGCGCAGGTCAAGTTCAAATTTGGTCATGGTTCAATGATTTTTGGCAGAGTTATGCCCCTTTCACTTTGAAAATAATATGAAATTTTCAGTTTCTGTTTATTATCTCCCCAACGGTACAACACATTCAACTCAAATTTGACATATGGATATGTTTTTGGAATGCCCAGGCCAAGTTTGAATTTGGTCATGGTTCAATGATTTTTGTCAGAGTAATGCCCCTTTCACTTTGAAAATAATATGAAATTTACAGTTTCTGTTCATTATCTACCCAACAGTGTTACATATTCAACTCAAATTTGACATATGGATATGTCAAAGGAATGGGCAGGTCAAGTTGGAATTTGGTCATGGTTCGATGATTTTTTGGCAGAGTTATGTCCCTTTCACTTTGAAAATAATATAGATACATCTTAGGAATAAGCAGTTTAAGTTTGAATTTGGTCGTGGTTCAATGATTTTGGACAAACCTATCTTTCTTGAATGTTGGAAAAATTTTGAACTTACAGTTTCAGCACTCATACTTTTGTGGAAATGTATGTAGCCATTATTTTGGCTACAAATATGAAATATGCTATTTTCAAAAGGTTAATTTCAGTGCCTTGAACATTGTATGAAAATGAAAAATAATTTGTGCAAACAAATTTGGAACTAAATATTATAACATCTGAAATTTTGGCTGCATGCGGGGGCATCCGTGGCATGATGACACATTTCTAGTTTTTTTTTATTATTGAACTGTACTCCCAAATAAACGTGGAATTTCAAAATGCTGGACAATATATGCTTTGATAATCTGGTAACAATTAATAAATTGATAACTGAATTCTAATTTAATAAGACCTACATTTTATTTCTTGTATTAACCTTTAACAGAACGAAAACAAAGCACAAGGCATAATTTTCTGATTAAAAAAAAATAAAAATTTTATCCAGACCATAAAAAAAAATTTTGTGAGTCGGTCGCGTTACTGCAAACAAACATTTTTTTAAGGATGGCCTTGGTTTTATTTTTTTAAATTTCCTTTAAATTTAACATCTACCTGGATTATTGTGTCGCCTTAAAAAGGCGACATATAGGGGTTACTTTTGTCGGCGGCGTCGTTGTCGGCATCCCCTAAAGCTTGTCCAGAGCATAACTCAGTCACTTTAAGTCTGATTGTCTTCAAACTTGGTATGCAAGCTTCTTTCATTAACCCGAAGTGCAGTGCACAAGGACCGGAACTCTGCACTTCTTTATTTTTGAGTTATTGCCCTTTGTTAATTTTCATACTTTAATTTTGTCCGGGCCATTTCTCTTCAACTATAAAAGCTATGGACTTGAAACTTCATAGAATGATAGATCTCATTAAGGAGAAGTGCAGTGCACAAGAACCGGTACTCTGCATTTCTTAGTTTTTGAGTTATTGCCCTTTGTTAATTTTCAAACTTGTTTTTTGTCCGGGCCATCTCTCCTAAAGTATAAAAGCTATGGACTTGAAACTTCATAGGATGATAAATCTCATAAAGATGAAGTGCAGTGCACATGAACTGGTACTCTGCATTTCTTAGTTTTTGAGTTATTGCCCTTTGTTATTTTTTATACTTTATTTTTGTCCGGGCCATTTCTCCTAAAGTATAAAAGCTATGGACTTGAAACTTCATAGGATGATAGATCTCATAAAGAAGAAGTGCATTGCACAAGAACTGATACTCTGCATTTCTTATTTTTGAGTTATTGCCCTTTGTTAATTTTCATACTTTATTTTTTTCCGGGCCATTTCTCCGAAAGTATAAAAGCTATGGACTTGAAACTTCATAGGATGATAGATCTCATAAAGAAGAAGTGCATTGCACAAGAACTGATACTCTGCATTTCTTATTTTTGAGTTATTGCCCTTTGTTAATTTTCATACTTTATTTTTTTCCGGGCCATTTCTCCGAAAGTATAAAAGCTATGGACTTGAAACTTCATAGGATGATAGATCTCATTAAGAAAAAGTGCAGTGTACAAGAACCGGTACTCTGCACTTCTTATTTGTGAGTTTTTACCCTTTATTAATTTTCATACTTGTTTTTTGTCCAGGCTATTTCTCATAACTTATAAAAGATATGCACTTGAAACTTCATAGAATGATAGATCTTATTGATAAGATAAGAAGTGCAGTTCATAGAAACTGTTGCTCTGCACTTTTTATATTTTGAGTTATTGACCTTTGTTAGTTTTTCATATTTCATTTTTTTCCTGGCCATTTCTCCTAAACTAGATTGTTCACAAGGCGACACATCTGACTCGCGGAGTTCTAGTAGGCTTATGTATAATTATCAGGACAAAGTTATTTCAGGATATCTTTCTATGAAGCTTTTTGTTATTTATAAATCTGTCTCATGCTTTTGTCTTGTGCTGTAGCAGAAACTACAGTGTTATATCCATCAATACTTGTCTGTGTTGTCAAGTTAGTCAGAAAATCTGTGCAAACAGACCATCAGTTAGTTATATTATTACTGCGATGTGGAAATCCCTCACTCTCAAATACAGAGGAGACGAGACTATTATACAAGTTCTCCATGGTAAATGTTAAAGGAAGTAGATATCTCATTCTGGTTGGAATGCTATGAAAAGCATAGTTGGCCTTTGCTGTAGTAAATGTTTAAAACATTATTGATCTCAAAATTCAATTCACGGTTCACAAGTTGATAAATGTATCGGGTTTATGTAATGTTCTTAAATTTGTATCAGCTATAACCAATCTTATGAATTATACATTTTTCAGTTCTTGTTCACTAATGACCTGATGCCAACTCAGTGTCCAAAGGAGGCAGGGCCAACACAGCGTGTCATTTGTTGCTATGAGAGACATTCCGACAATCATCAGAAAACAGTGAAGGAAGTATGGGATGAATGGACGTCCATGTGCAATCTTTATTCCATTGTTAAACCTTTCTCAGCCATGATAACAGGTACTTTTTACTGTAGAACTCTTAAAGGCTTGGATTCACCAAAAATTAGATTTGTAGCTGCTTGAAAGTCTTCATACAACTGGATCAGTGTTTCTGTTACATGTAGCATCATGACCCCCCCCCCCCTTAAAAAAAGTTAAATGACATAATGACTTGCCAGTACAAGACTAGCCATTTATCTGTATGACCAGACCATTGTTTGTTTTTAAGTAGCTGGAATTTAGTATTGCATAGAAAATATGAATAATAGAATGCAGGAATGTACTGGGGTAAATGTATAAATATTTGTCTTTTTCTGGTTATATAGATGATCAGACTGGTGTACAGGGGATAACAAATGTGAAGTCTTACAACTACAAGAGATTAACTGTGCTATATGGTCCTGGATATCCTAGTCTTGTAAGTTTATCACATATATTTGTTACTTTGTATTACTTTATTCTATATCTTAATTTAACTAACAAAGCCAAAAAATTGTCAGGTAAAGCAATTGAAATAATGTTATTTTTAGGACTTTAAATTTACTGGTTCTTTTTCTTTGCAATTTTACTGACAAGAACTGATTTCATAAATTCATGTCTTTTACTTCAAAGCAAAAAGTAAATTTTAGCGGAAGCAGAAATAAGATCAGTATGTTTGTTTTAAAAAATATGTGCTGTAATGAAAGAAATCATTTGACAGCTGTAAGTAGTTGCTGTGTAAACTTCAATTTATTTCAGATGCATGTATATTGGAAGTGCGATCAGAAGCAGTTTGTTTTATCACTAGGTAGAGAAGGTCAAGCTAGTCCCATGAACCCCCATGTTATCATGGCAACTCAACTACAACATGACCTTAACACATCAAGGTCACTGTCTTATGTTTTACAGGTACAGATATTTCTTGTGTCTGATACAATTTGTTTTATTTGCATAATATAGGACAGACTTTTCAGTGGAGATGTGTTTTGGATAAATGGTAAACCTAGTGCAGCACAGTGTGTTGATTTGAGTGTGGTTATTAGTTGAAAGTAGACCTGAAATGCATTTTATTCATTTTGAGAAGTTACAACTCAATTTTCACTAATAAAACGTTTAAGATTGTTTTCCAAAAGCCACCTTTACTATTTTGCCAATAGTGGCATTTGTTGGCAAGAAAAACAGTTACATATTTTATATGCCTTAAACAATGTGTTAGTTATTATATACATATATAAGCATTCACTAATGATATGTTATATCTAATGATATGATATGTTATCTACAGATTCTACATGATACATGGTCACCAATGAATTCTCTTCACAAGTTATCATCAGCTGTAATACTTGGTGTTGGCACAGTAAGTTTTAAACCAGTAACTTCTGTTCTCTACACAATACAAACTTTTTTTAGAACTCAGTGTATGCTTGATATATATGTTAAATAAGGAAAGTTGCCAAATAATCTTTTCTGCATTGATTTTTCGTAAAACCTGACAAATAAAAAAGATTTTATTTAAGAAATTCATTATTTAAAATGTTAAAAAAAAAAATTCTGGAAGCATAAAAAATTTTAATTGTTAATCTTCCCTCTACTTTTTTTTGTCTGACAGACTTTCCTTCTTTGAAATGGATAGTGAGCAGTGTTAGTTTAAGGCCCGCTATGCCTCAAAAATGCTATCATTTTCATTTCTAAAAAACTTTTTTTTATTATTGATATATTTTATATCTAAAATAACTAATTATTTCGAGTAAATCGTGACTTAGGTGAACTGTTTTCTGATTGGTTGTTTATATTTAGATTATTGTCGCACCAATTTTGTACTACTACTCATTCGAGCCTTTGTTGTCTAGCTGTCAAGTTTAAGAAAAAAATTTTAGAAAAATTTGTAAAATTATAGTGAGTAAGTATTTTGTATGAAAGTCAAAATACTATTTTGTTTTTATTTTGCTACCTTTAGGACACATTTTCTTGAGTTGTTAAACATTCAGCATGCTCTTAATATATTATCAAAACATTATGAAAACCATGTTTGACATTTCTAAATAATTAAAAAAAAAATGAATTTTTAAGCATAATGTGCCTTGAACAAATTTTTATTTCCAAGAACTCCTAGCTACTGCTGAAGTGTATTCTGTCTTGCCTCAATAATTGTGGAATACCCAAGACATTGCAGTTTGTGTTTATAATGTTAAATGTTTTATTTGTTAACAATGTGATATATAATTTCATTGCAGTACCCAAGACAGTCCACACAGGGTTTTACTGTGTTACCACAGTCATCTACACATGTTAGAATCTCTTACAGAAACAAGTATCCTTTTACATACTAAATATAAGGTCTATATGGCTGAACATTTAAAGAAGTAGACTTAAAATTATGTGCCAGTTATTGCTGTGAGTTTGAATCTTTACAGGGACTTTGTATTTAGAATTTTAAAATATACCCTTTTTTTTTAAACTATCCAGTTTGTCAGTGGAAGGTCAGTGGTTCAACTCAAATGCCTGATTTTGCCTTAGATAACTGATAATGCATAGAAGGGCACCTGAGTTGTTTTTTCCCCCACTTGTTAAGTTAGAAAACAGTTTATCTTTACTGTGGTGATATAACTTAAAGCAACACGCCTCCAGATTCATGCTAATTTTCATGAAAATTTTTAAAATGTATTTGAATGTATAATTTTGTGAAATAACCAAAAGGAAGCCATTTACACAATATCAATGGCACTTACAAGCCATGTTAATTACCAAAAAGAGGTCAAAATATGCATAAATAGCCCTTACTGCATTAGTAACGCAGTAGAAATATAGTTGTAAATGCTAAAAAGTCAGTCATTAACCGCACATAACATGTAAAATATTACTTGAATCTTAAACCATTTTACGTTTCCTAAAATCCTAGTTCATATTTATCAAGTTTGATTTTATCGAAATATTTTGACAAATCTGCAAGCATGCAGCTTTAAAACCCAACAACAACAAATTAATATACTATGATCATGCTTTACCCTTCCATATACCAATGTAGCTATTTGCCCTGTTTATCACTGAATGAAATAATGTTAATATCACAGTTCAGTAGTGTTTTTGGTATACCAAGACTCACCAAAGGAAGTTTGTATACAATTTTGTATAGATTGTAAGTGAGATGGACAGTTGATAAATAGGTTTTATTTCCTCCATATTTATATGAGGAATATAGAAAATTTGACATAAGTCCTTTAACTTATTTTACCATACAGTCTTTCTGAAAAAGACATTGTTTGTCATAAATGTAATTTTAGAAAATTTCTGAATTAATGAAGGTGAAAAGTCATAATTAGATCCACAATTTTTTTTTACTTTCACCCTAAAAGAATTGAATATTTTCCTTAACAAAGTTTCTAGTTATTGTTTAGATGTACATTTCCGTGGTAACAAAGCTGTTGCCATTAGAGATGGTGCTTACAGTTTGTTTGATACAAGTAAGGCAACTGAGGGATTTACACCTATACCAATGCTGAAGGTAGGATCTGTTATATTGCTCTTATCTTATCCAGATCTTTGATTAATTTTGGTATTAAAAAGTTCTGAAATAGTCAGTTTTTTTCCGAAGAACTGATTTTTTTTTCTGGGATCAAAATGTTAGTGTTTCTTAAAAAATTGTGTATTACTTACAGATGTATTATAGATAAAAAAAGCAAATAAAATACAAAAAAATGAAATGATATTATTTTAATAAAGGTAAATATTCTTTTTCACAGGCTTTCCTAGGAATGTTTGTTGATGATTCAGTAACAGGAAGTAATGTTCATCGACGTTCAACAACAGAGGACGACAATCCTCCGTCTCCGATGGTAAACCTTGATAACATGGATGTATTCAATATATCACAATCTCATCAGTCAACGGGCTCGCCAGGTGGTAGAAGAGCCGAGGTAATCCATACTATTACATAAATTTCTATAACAATATACCCCAGAGACTCTCAACATATTTTCATTTATTTTCAACATTTTTCATCAATTTTAGAAAAATCTAACTTTTATTCAAAAGCACTTTTCTTTTACCTGTTTCAATATGACGGAAAATAATTAATGTAATGAAAATTTAATTGAATTTTATTTTCTTCAATTGTTTACTCAGAGAATGATTTTTATAGTCAAAAAGTAGAATCTTAAGTAAACCCACAGCAACATGTCCTTTGTTCTCATTATCTGTTTTTATGTTGTTTTTTAACCAGGTTTTCCGAAGGAAAAAAACTGGTTATTAGATTGAGGTATGTCGGCGGGCGGACGGGCGGGCGGGCGTAAACAATTTCTTCTGTGCGCAACTCCTCCTACATTTCTCAACAGATTTTGACCAAACTTTCACAGAAGCTTTGTCATCAAGTGCCCTGGCGCATATTGTTGGGGTTTTGCGATTGGATAATATTTGACCTTATTATGGCCCTTTGTTTTTTTTTCTTATACAGAATTGAACAAATTCTTCTGTGCTGAACTCTTCCTACATTTCTCAACGGATTTTGACCAAACTTTCACAGAAGCTTTGTCATCAAGTGCCCTGACACATATTGTCAGGGTTTTGCAATTGGTATATATTTGACCTAATTATGGCCCTTTGTTTTTTTTCATTATATAGAATATATAGTGAACAATTTCTTCTGTGCGCAACTCCTCCTACATTTCTCAACGGATTTTGACCAAACTTTCACAGAAGCTTTGTCATCAAGTGCCCTGGCGCATATTATCGGGGTTTTGCGATTAGATAATATTTGACCTAATTATGGCCCTTTGTTTTTTTTCATTATATAGAATATATAGTGAACAATTTCTTCTGTGCGCAACTCCTCCTACATTTCTCAACGGATTTTGGCCAAACTTTCACAGAAGCTTTGTCATCAAGTGCCCTGGCGCATATTGTCAGGGTTTTGTGATTGGATAATATTTGACCTTATTATGGCCCTTTGTTTTTTTTTCTTATACAGAATTGAACAAATTCTTCTGTGCTGAACTCTTCCTACATTTCTCAACGGATTTTGTTCAAACTTTCACAGAAGCTTTGTCATCAAGTGCCCTAGCACATATTGTCGGGGTTTTGTGATTGGATAATTTTTTACCTAATTATGGCCCTTTGTTTTTTTTCCTTATACAGAATATATATAGTGAACACTTCTTCTGTGCGCAATTCCTCCTACATTATTCATGTTTTAAATTGCACATAGTTACATTGTTTGTTGCTTGTATTTGTATTTCAAATACAACATATTTATCTACAATGGTGATAATTGAAAACCTGGTTTCATGGCATTGCCATGTTTCTTGTTTTTTGTGTACTAAGTGTACATATTGTGCATACCCATATATTTAGAATGAAAAGTATATTTTTAAAATCACTTTCAATTTTTGTAAGAGGAGGCCAACATTTAATTGATTTATTTATCTGTGAATAGAAAATGTTTACCAAACATGCAAAAAAAGAAACAAAAACTTTTAAACCTTTGTTGTTTATTTAAGCAGATTGCACCTTCACCATCCACATTTATTGGTACCCCATCACCAGGCAACATTCTAGCAGCTGGTTCCCCTAGTAACCCACAGTTACATGTGCCATCCCCTGGGTCATTTGTCCCAGCTCCATCTCCTAGTTCACTTGGTATACACATGCAGTCACCTGCCAGCTCATTCATCAGTCCTCAAGGTTTGTTATTTAAGATTTTAGTTTTACTATATTGCATATTTAATTCGAAAGAGCACTCTTAAATCATTGACTTTTCTGTACTTGAGTTGGGGATCAAACCCATTAGAGATATATTATATAAATTTTCTTTACCAAAAGTAAAAGCAAGAGTTAAAAATATTATTTGCTATATGTAGAGACAACTTTATATCATATACACAATATTAATGAAAATCTAATAAAAATAAGAACATATATCAAGCCATATTGTTATTTCCTTTTAAGATTTTCACAGAAAGAGAAAAAGAGAAATAAGAGGAGTATCTCAAAGTCCCTTTTTGAATATTTGTTTGATCTTTAAAGCTTGTTGGTTGTATTAAATGTTAATTTACATGTTTGAAATATTGTACAGGTATGGGAGACAGTGGGTCACCTTATCCCAACACTGGTCTTGCTATGCCATCTCCAGGGCAGAGAAACTGGCCAAACTCGCCATCCATCCAGCCATCACCTGTCTCACGTCATGGTATGGTTGCCTCACCAGGGCATCCAACCCTGCACTCACCACAAACACAACTTAAAGATGACCATGGTAAAGCATCAGGTAAGTTATTTCGTTATATTTGATTTGTATTTCAAAGAAGGGCTTTTCATGCATTAAGAAGTATTAAAGCATTTAATTATTTGTTACAAAATAAAGGATTGGTTTATAAATACTATTGTTGTCTGGAACCAAGTTTTCATATCTTATGTCCTTTGTAGATAACTTCTGACACAACTTAATAAGTATTCTTTTCTAATAATTAAGTGATTTTAATTTGATAAATATTCTTTTCTTCTAAGTTGACATAAGCCTAAAACCTATGAAAATGTCTGTATATCATTTCAGTAATGAGTCCGCCATCAAGAACTTTACCACAGAGAGCGTGGGCCGCCTCCACGCCAACGTTACTATCCCATGAAGCATTTGACAACCTGTTGAAGCAGACGTCATTACAACAGTTACCATACCATGTACCATTGTCTCCACTAGAACGCTTCCTCGGCTGTAAATTCTTAAGAAGGCATATAGCTCGAGTTATTCTTCAAGAGAAACATGTAAGTTAGCTTTTTTACCTATAAACTGACCTTTACATTGTGGATGAGGCTGGAAATTCCCCTATATATGTGAATTGTTTAAAGATATTTAACCGCCTCTTGTGCTCAGTCTTTTCAATTCTTACAATTTATTGTTAAAACATAATTAAAAAATTTGGCTTAAATGAAATAGAATACTGCGAATTCACTAATATTCGTGGGCATGAAATTTTGTGGTTTTATCAAAACAGGCATTTTCGTGGATTTTAAATTTCTTGTAAAGTAAATAGTATAAGTATTAAGTAACCTAATGCATAGTAAACTTACACTTAATTTTTCGAGCATTTTACCTATCGCATGTACATATCTTTCCATATCACACATCGCTTGTCAACAAACTTAATCCTTGCCTCTGGGTATTCATTACACAAAAATCGACAGAAAAGTGCCGGTGCATGTTTGTAATGTACAGAATAGAGACATGGCAAGAAGTATTTGTTGGGATAAAATTTCGTCGGATCTTAAATTCGTGGATTGACCTACCCACGAAAACCACGAAAATTTGTGCCCCACGAATAATAATGATTTTACAGTAGTATTTAGCAGCTCAAATTCAAATTCTTTATTTCTCTTAATGCAACATACATGATACAAACATGAGGTTTGTAAGCAGTGAACATTTGTTAAAAAAAAAAACCAGCAGTATGGACTGTTAGATAAACTTGTTTGTAAATGATTTATTTGATTTCAGTTGACAAATATACAAGCCCCGGAGCCTGGTGTGAATGTGTTTAAGGCAGAAACTCTTCAGTTTAGAGTGTCGCTAAATTCTTCTACCCTACAGTCACTGCATATGAAAATACAACCTTTACCAGGTATGTCTATCTAATTATAAAACTTATGAAATTATAACACCACAATTATACAGTAGTATACCTAGGCTACAGAGTGTAGCAATTTTTTATCCCCAAGTACTTCACAGGATATTCCTTATATGGGCCGGTGGTAAACTCATGAGTTTTTAGGGTTTTTTTTTTTTTTTAGTCGAATTTCTTTCATTTTCTTCAGTTATATGTTTGTGGTGTTCTAAAGTGTAGAAAACTTGGAAATGTAAGGTTGGGGTACAGAGTATTGATAGAGAAATTATACGAGGGAGATGTTGAAAAAGCTTTCAGAGTTGCATAACATGTTACTGTTATTAAATGAACAAACTTTTTTGACATATAGTGACCATCCAATCAATCTATTGTTTTTTTGTTAAGGAACAATATATGCTCCTTCAGAAAATATTTAGATTTGATTTTTGTGAGGGGATATAGTGTAACAAATGTTTGTTAAATAACACAGTATTTCTCTGAAGAGGAGTTCTTGATGTTGTTGACTTTATTATGAGATATATTTTGATCATTATAAAGATTGTTTCTTTTATATTGATTTTTTTATACATTAATAAATATATGGAATTTTCTTTACAGAATACATGGATCAATGGTCCCAGGAAGAGATTCAGATATTTGAAAAGTATTTTGACCTTAAGGTAATTCATGTACATCAGTTTGTTTGGTTTGTTTTAATGCCAAATTTAATACAAGTTTGGTCATATCTTGGAATTAGACCCACTGATCTAGCTTTGCTGGATAAGTATCCAGATCAACCATGATCAATTTCTCAGGAAGTGACAGACTTCTAATCCCATAAGATTTCTAAATTGGTGATTAGTGACAAAAAACCATTTGACTCACCTTGTTACCACTGGATTACAAATTTAATGCTCTCCATTATGAACCTAATGGACAGACAAACATCAGATGAAATTTATTCCCTTTTTTTGTGACTATAAAATATATGAATAATGAGTAGAAAATGAAACTGAATGCAGTATTCTTTTAGGTATACATGTGTAGTTCAGTAAAAGTGGTGTATGAATTTTACAAAATGTAATGTCGAGTGGATGATTCTCAATGTTTTTAGTTTTTCCTTTCTCTATCAATATGGTGTAAGTTTATTAAAGTTTTAAACATTTATTTTGGTGCTTATCATATATCCTAAGTTTTTAATCAAAACATCATTCTACTAAAAATGTAATTGCTTTCTCTGGTGAAGTTGCATCCAGTATATTGAAAATATTGCTCTGTTCTGACATAGAATTAATTGCATTAATTTGTTTCAGGTTGCTTGTCCACCATACAAGTCTAATTCCTTGACAGCTTTCAGTAGATTGTTGAAGGCACAGATTAGAATATTGAAAGATGTTATACAAATTATGAGGCTAGAGCTGGTAATGACAACAAATTACATTCTTTTTTTTTAAATTCTCATTTTAATCAATTTTCCTTAATTAACATCATACATTTGATGTTTAGAGAGGTCAAGATTTCATTGAATAATATTTTAGATCCTTCCTGGTTGTCAAGGGTCTATGTTTCTGTTTTTAGTGAAACAGAACACAAAATTAATACAAGTCACATATGCCAATGATACTGAATGTTCCATATCTAATACAGTAATAGAAATTCCATCTATTAAATCATTCATTAAGGAATGATTCTTCATTAACTTTGCTTGTTATTTTTAAAAATACAAATATTTGTGTCTATTTGAAGTAAAACTCAGCTCATTCCTCCTTTGTGAGAATATATTAAACAACTTTGTAGGGTGTAAATATAGCAAGCAGTCTCCAAGGGATCTGTACTTACCTGCTAAAAACAAAAAGCAGTCAATTTTCCCAAATGACTTTAAAAATAATACACAGTTTCATTATTTCTCTATCACAAAGATGGTTCATGACTTCAATCTTTTTGGACAGATGCCAAACCAAGATCGTAGTTTGAAATGGTCGGTACAACTTTTGTTGACAGTACCACCAGCGTATGCTCACATGGCACCAGCGGGCACTCCAGCTATTGTTGTTGTCCAGAAAATGATTCTTATGGTATGTATTTTTACTTTCATAAAAAGGAAACTTGATATCTGTTTCTAATGTAAATTATTATATTAATCAGGTTTTCTGATGGAAAACTTTTGCTATTAGATTGGTGAAAGTCAATTGACTGTCCGCTGGAAATTTGTAATTAATCTTATGCACAACTCCTGCATTTCTCAAGGGACTTAAAAAAAGAAACAGAACCACTTATTGTTAGGATTAAGTGTGATGATTTTTTGCAGAGCTGTACTTGTTTATATATTGGTTTTGTGTTTTTTCCCACATATTACATTTAAAACCTGGTTTTTGTAACAATTTTCTGTTACTTATGGAAGTCTTTCACCAAACTGATATTTAATAAATGTGCAATAACTGTCTTATTGTAAGCTAACAATATTTTCTGTTACTTATGGAAGTCTTTCACCAAACTGATATTTAATAAATGTGCAATAACTGTCTTATTGTAAGCTAACAATTTTCTAAATGCTTAAAACATTCAAGGGGAATGTATAAAAATGTTATTCTATTATATAAAATATCATGCCTTAACTTATGGTTCTTGTATTTGTAACAAACTGAAATACAAGATAAGTAATCTTGATGATTTTCATGAGTAAATGATTAAAAGAAGACAAGTTTGTGTCTAACTCTTGTGTCTGTTTGCTTAGTAATAAGAGCTTCTTTACATTTACTTTACATTCTTAATGCTTATAAAAAAAATAGCCGAACAAATAACTGTGCCACCAAGATAGATAAAGGTTTGATAAAGAAATATCAATTTATCCCAGTTTATTGCTTTTTTCATGGACCACTGTTATTGTCTTTCTTTTAGCTGTTTATGGTGAGTTAATAATGTAACAACTGTTATGCTCCTATTTGTACTGATATGTTCAATAATCTTATTATGTTTTAAGAAAAATTTTAAGTTTTGAACTTAGACCCAGAAAGTTTTCATATGATCTCTACAGTGTTGGTGTTACAAAATAAATAAAACACTTTCTTTCACAATGTGATGTAGTATGGAAATAGGATGATAAACCCTGTGGATATTGCTCCCAAAATACATTCATCAAATTGTAAACATAGCTTTGAACAAACCCAAATGCTTTAGGTAAAGGCAAGCTGTGTATTATTCTGTCCTATAGATAATGATACAGTGATTAAACTGTCTCACCCAGTATGTCTATACCCATGTATATGATTTAAGTTCTATGTTTTCATACTGTATTAGTGTAACAGTGTATTCCCTTTCTTATAATGGACCCACACTTTCTTAAAGCAAAATAAAAGAAAAACGGAAATTGACAATTGGTAGTGTAAGATTGTGTTTTTTTGGCTTTTTTTGTAAATGTGATGAAATACTTGTAAATTTTTCAATTTCTCATTAAATCTGTATAATAACATAAGAAACTGGTTATCATGGAAAAGTGTTCATTACTTACCTTTGTTAGAGAGAAAGCAGGTAAGATGTTTGTTTTCTTCATAAAAGTTGGATTAATTAGTTGTTTCTCTTTTCTTTTTCCGTAACAGTTACAGTTGACAAGAATTAATGTCCCAATACCACAACAGCAGCCACAGCAACAACAACAACCTGACCCTCAGACGATCACAATACCACTGTTATACAACATACAAGACAACACCATCACCCTTGTGGAGAAAGGACCCACTCTTCCCAATGCTAACCTTCAACAAGTCTCGCAACATCTGAAGAGATTCATGGAGCGCTTTCACTCCAGTGCTGAATGTGCTATTTATCCAGCTGTCAGAGAATTACTTACAAATTTAGTGCTTACATAAAAGTATGATGAAAATTCAGTGCTTTCATGAAAGAATGATGAAAATTTAGTGCTTACATAAAAGTATGATGAAAATTCAGTGCTTTCATGAAAGAATTATGAAAAATTAGTTCTTACAAGAAAGTGAAATGAAAATTAAGTTCTAACATGAAAGTGAAATGATAATGCACTTCTTACATGAAAGTGAACAAAAGTTTAGTGCTTACATGAAAGTGAATTGAATATTTAGTTCTTACATGAAAGTGAAATGATTGTTATTGATTTCTGACAAGTAAACAAAATCATTTTCTGACATATTGGAATTATCAAATTGACCATTTTAAGAAATGAATTTCTGTGAAAGTACTTTTGCCATTGCAAAACTTTCCCAGGCACATCAAAACTGGTTTTAAGCAGATTTAAAGTGGTTAGTGCACTATATTATATCTCTCTGTATCATTTTGATGTATCATAGATGTGTACATAAAAATGTTGAGTCAATTATTATACATACACTGTATTGTAAATTGTGAAGGAAAGTTTAGCAAGTACTCGGCAAAATGTGTGTTTTTTATGCCCCCGCCATGTAATGGCCGGGGCATATAGTGTTACCCTGTTCCGTCCTTCCATCCTTCCGTCATTCTGTCATTCCGTCATCATCAGTTTCCTTTCATTATCTTAAGAATGGTTGCACACATTCAACTCAAATTTGACATATGGATATGTCATGAGAAAATACAGGTCAAGTTCGAATTTGGTCATGGTTCAATGATTTTTGGCAGAGTTATGCCCCTTTCACTTTGAAAGTAATATGAAATTTTCAGTTTCCGTTTATTATCTCCCCAATGGTACAACACATTCAACTCAAATTTGACATATGGATATGTTTTTGGAATGCCCAGGCCAAGTTCGAGTTTGGTCATGGTTCAATGATTTTTGTCAGAGTAATGCCCCTTTCACTTTGAAAATAATATGAAATTTACAGTTTCTGTTCATTATCTACCCAACAGTGTTACATATTCAACTTAAATTTGACATATGGATATGTCAAAGGAATGGGCAGGTCAAGTTGGAATTTGGTCATGGTTTGATGTTTTTTTGGCAGAGTTATGTCCCTTTCACTTTGAAAATAATAAAGATACATCTTAGGAATAAGCAGTTTAAGTTTGAATTTGGTTGTAGTTCAATGATTTAAGACAAACTTATCTTTCCTAAATGTTGGAAAAATTTTGAACTTTCACTTTCAGCACTCTTACTTTTAGCCATTATTTTGGCTACAAATATGCAATATGCTATTTTTAAAAGGTTTAGACTGAATAATTTCAGTGCCTTGAACATTGTATGAAAATGGTTTGTGTTAACATTGAAAAGTTTTAAGGGCTTTGAACTTAAAATGAAAAAAATGATTAAAGCACCATCTGAAATTTTGGCTGCATGCGGGGGCATCCGTGGCATGATGACACATTTCTAGTTCCAAACTGATCTCCTGGTACAAACAAACTTTTGCTGTTATAGCTTTATGGTGTACATCCATTCACAATTGATTACTCACCTGGTTAAAGTTGTAACTGTAAAAGTTTGTTTTTAATCCCCAGATTAGCTGGGAAAACTCAAATACTTCCGGAGTAAGTTTATTAATGTGTAGCTGTTAATAACAATTTGCAAGCGTTTCAAAGCTACCCACTCGATCTACTTTATTAGATTAAAATAATTATATGTGTAAATATATAGCAATTATACATGTTGTTAAAATGAAAGAAATGGAAAACAAGAAGTGGAGTACAGGAGCACAAGTGTCCTACATTGTAAAGGGATAAGATTTGAGAATTATAATGAAGATTTTATGTATGCTACATTAAAATTCCTTCTAGAATTTTTTTTCCAACTGAAAATTTTGGATACTAGAGGTGATATTGATTTGTCTATGGCACAGTTATATAAACAGGCTAGTGGTTATATAAACAGGCTAGTGTACAGGTCATATATCCATGCAGTCTGACCAGACTGGTAAACTGTATGTATCATGAAATTCCTTACATTAACAGATTACTGTATGAAATTCAATAAATTCAGCTTAGTCAAGGTTGACATTATAATAGTTGTTTGTAATAACGGTGATAATGATTTACAATAATTTAATATTTAATTAAGTCTTGTATTTGTTTTGATTTATCTTCATTTTGATATAAATTTGAAAGATTTTGTATAATAGAATATATGATTCTGTAGTAGAATAAAGTGCTATAAAATCATGTTTTTCTTTATTATGAAAGTTTGTTGTGTGTTGTATTTTTGGAATGCCTGTGACAGGTTGGAATGCAGCCAGTTTTGTATGGAGCATACCTTCGAAATGTACATGCCTGGAGATATTTTACATGTACTTGAGAAAATCAAGGTCACCAACAGGTATCTAGGTCAAGGCTACACTTTGCAATTAGATGAACACCATTGAGTAGAGCAAAACTTGCATTGAGGAAACTTATCAACTTGGCCAAAATGTTCACCATTGTAAGCATGATGTTGGATCTGATGACCAAGGTAAAGGTCGCATGTAGAACTCACATGTCCTGTATTAGCGTAAAAGAAGTGTGTAATGACTATTTGGTCATGAATTGAGTAGTCACTTGAAGACTATGGACGGGTTCATATATCTGCAGGGTCACTAGAGATTATGAAATATCCACATTTTCTCCGCCTCCGCAGCATGGCGGGTTACTTTATTCAAGATGTAGTGTAAATTCTTCAGCTATTAATTATTTTTCGTAAAGTTACAGAAGGATATTTCCCATGTAATTTTCAAATCTTCAGCACACCGATTTATATCAATCATTCTTGAAAAAAGACGACCTGGATACCATATTGAAGGTGCATGTTTCAATTTAAGGTATCAGGACCCTAATGGGCACTATCAGGAACTAAAGAATTGACATCATGGCCACTTTTCTGAACTCAAGCTAGGATGTTATGAGGGCCCTTCTTTAGAAATGAGGAACCTTTAAATAATCTGCAATAACATTCTAATGAAAAATGTTTTCCCATGAATTTTTGGTAAGAAACAAATAGTACCATTCAGCTAACAATCCACATAAGCAAAATTATGGTTTCTACTTAAAATTTATGAAATCTGTATAAAAATGTTACCCTACCCCACCCATTTTTACCACATGTCTGACCATTTTTCTACTTAGGGAGCCTAATTCAAAAAATTCTTAAAATTTACCCAAATGAGTGCCTGTTTTCAAAGTTTCCCTAAATTTTTAAAAAAGTATATTGGTTGATCTTGTAAAATATGAAATACTTTTACCGTCTAGTTTTGATTATATTACACTTTGAAAATATCAGGTACCATATTTATTACTAGATTTAGCATAATTTAGCCAATAAATACCTATACAAATTCAAAATTAAACACTTTTTTCTTTCCATATGGGACATGAGAGATACATAAATAATGTTAAAAGAAAAAAAAGAAAGAAAAAACAAGTTGACCCTTCTGGGGATTGAACCCATGGCCCTCATTTTCAATGTAGTTAACAGTAATTCTAGCCAATTTGAATACTCTTCAAGGCGGAGGTTATGCATTAGGGTGCTAATACCTTAATGTGGCTTGTTGAAGTCAAAAGTCAACTATAGTTGAAGAATTAGAGCACACGTCCTCCGTACACGTATCCCAAAATGCTTTACCCCCACACCACTCTTGTTATATAAAAAATATAAGGTATATAAATAAATCAGGTCTGCATAATAAATTATTAGACTGGTCTATCAAGTTTTAGATCTACGCTTCTGTTGAAGGACTAATCTATTTTTTCAGGTGTTTGGAGGTTTAAGTCACGTCAACTTTGTAAATGTATAGTTTTCACTGATATTTCAGTTATAAATGGACACCTGAATAGAACTGCCGACCTTGCCTAGGCTGGGGGGGGGGGGGAATATCAAACTTGAGTAGTTTGTACAAATTTGGCCGATGAGTAGCCTTTGGAAACTATAGCAGGATACCGAAAATAAAAGCCTTTGAGAAATAAAAATAAAATCATTCTGGGGTCATATTGGGCCTTAAATAGACTTTTCCACTCAGCATGCCAAACACCGCTTGAAAATGACACAACAATAAAGAAAAATAGTTACTACATAAATGAAATTGGCATGGTCCTTGAAAAGATAGTGACATAGATATTTAAAATGAAACCTAGAGGCGTAGCTGATTTATTTCTTTCACGACTAAATTTTTACATATTCTTAAAGATGTTATTGAAAAATATCAATTATAAAAGTATATGCACATCGCGATTTAGAGACACTTCTCAAAATCCCTGCACGTCGCGGAGAAGGCACACGGCAGGTCAAGGTCAAGTACCAGAGATGATTGGTTGACCTGTCGTGACTCTAGAGGGTGGCATTTACAAGGGTTGTTTTTGTTATCGTTGGTCGGAAAGCTGATGCCTTGGCAGTACAGTCGACTCCTTCACCACCATAGAACGAAGAACGGGCTCCAGGAAGATTCAGCATGAAAAAGACGTCCCCGATGAGACTACAAGGCAAGGAGGCAATAATCTCGGACATATGGTTAAACTAAAACTAAAACATATAGATTCACAGTCGCAAAAAGAAAACGACAAAAGTTGAATTGTATAAGCTTGCAATATATGATACAGTGGTCGGAACTAAAAGGTGCTTATTATTGTAAATAACGCATCAGATTGTTTTGTATATAGACTTGCAGTAAAAGATACAGTGATTTCGTTTCTACTGAGTGTGATTGATTGGGTTATGCTTAAAATTTTAATATGTAATTTCATATTGTAAGAACATGCATAACACATTCTATGATGCACTTTTCATTCTGTCTGTATGTATATATGAAAACATAAGCAAACCTATGAAAGTATATTTAACAATCTTTCATTGGTTATTCTGTGCGAAATTACTTTTATAGTACATTTTGTTGAAATAACAATGTTTGCTGTGGTTTCTACTGAGCTTTTGTACATCTATAATTTGAGAAAGAAGATACCAACGTCTTTAGTGGTTTATAAAGAATTTATTTTAGTTCGATTGTGTAGGAAGCTTAAAGGTAAAACACACATTTTCTAATTCGTTCCTGGAACTTATCAGTACGGAGCAATGAGTGTAAAGTTTCTTGCTCAAGGAAAAAAGCGACTTGCCCCTGAAGGGGTTTGAACCCATGCGGCTGACGGTTTTTAAATAGATTACCAGTCTGACGCGTTAACCACTCGGCCATGCCGCCACTAAACATCGTCATTGTTTATATCATGAAAAATACAATGATGTATGTATAATCAACATGAAAAAATATTTTCTTGGAAAAAATTTCTTCCTCCAAAAATGTCTCTGCAGGGGACAAAAAACAACAACAACAACAAAATACACTTAAAATATAGTAATGCAAGAATTCTGCGTAATTAGAGAAAACATTCACTATAAATTAATTATGATATAATTTGATTTTATTATGTATTGATGTGAAATGAGTGTATGTGAAATTTATGAACATGTATGTCATAAAGTTTATAATAAATATAAAAAAAGAATTCGGTGTCATATTTAAAACAAGAGTTCAATTACTACGTGATAAGGTGAAGTTGAACCCACTTCTGTTAAGCACGAAATTCACGCGTTTGCGAATCACGACTGGCCATACACGCTGACGAGAAGGTTGAGTAGACACGTTAAAAAGAAGGCTAGATTGGAAACATGTTGCTCGTTACAACTTTAACTATTTTATTTGCGGGTATTTATAGTTTTTTAAGTATCTTTCTTAAATTAATTTACTATTGAATGCATTATTGCTTAATGAAATTGGTTTAATTTGCATGTGTATAATTTCGTGTAGTGTCATTAAACGTCAGCCATGTTTGAATGAAGTTATAGACAAGTCTTTCTCGATAAAATCCAGTTCAAAGTATGCGACGGTGATGCGAAATGTTATTTCTTGCAACAAAGAACTTGCAAATAAATAAATAAACGCAGTAAAGTACGGTCTCCCGTTAGTGCCATCGCACATAATCATAACTCAAACATTAAGGTGTTGAAAAGTCGAAATAACGAAATCACGATGATGAAAACTAGTTTTTTTTTCAACATCGCACTTTCGACCATCGTGCTTTCATTGTTTCGTGATTGCTAACATCATGATCCAAAGCCTTTGTTATTGTATCCTTGGTTAAAATATATTCGCCATGTATAGTTCTGATCTTAATTTGTGCGCATGTCAAACAGGAAGAGTCGAGAGTACGATGTTGAAATGTCGAAATAACCTCGCAAGTCGTAACCACGATAATGAAAAGTCAAAATAACCTCACGGTGGAAATTTTTCACCATCGTGTTTTTTGTTTTGTTGTTTGTTTTGTTGTTGTTGTTGTTTTTTTTTTTTTTTTTTTTTTTTTTTTTTTTTTTTTTTTTTTTTGGGGGGGGGGGGGGTATTTCGATTTTTACCATCGTAATTTCGTGTTTTCATGTGTGTGCGTCGCGATGGCCCTATAGGGACACTGTAGTAAAAATATTCCATATTCTGTGTAAAGTATGTAATGCGAGAAAGGTAACCATAGCATGATAATAAACAATGGAGTACCATCATTATGTAAACAGGTGTAGGATTTCATATTTATAGACTGTCCGTAAATCTATAGACAGTCTGGAAATTTAAAGATTTTTCAATCCATACATTCAATGTAAAATTTGCTGTTTTTAGTTTTACAATAAAATCCGCAGCCTACATAAGTTGTTTTATTACTTGTATTTACAAAGGTAATGGGGGAGAGTTTCATCTTTGTATGATGATTTTGAAATTTTTGTAAAAGTGAAAATTGAAAGTCATCAAATTGTTCTGAATTTTGACATACTGTTACATTTAATCATATAATATGTAACATCTGTGTTTTTAATTTAATGCAACTTCTACTATTTTCTTACTTAATGTCTGTAAATTTACAGATAAGAAAATCTGTAAAATTATGGATCGTCCAAATATTTACAGACTGTCCGTAAATATCATGAAATCCTAGACCTGGTAAACAATCAACATTCAACATTTATATTTGCAACAGTCAATAAGTCTGTATGTCTGTCTGTCTGTACACCAGACATCATAGAAGAGTGATGTACATGTATTTCATTGCACATTTTAGCTCGATGACTATTCGATAAGAATAAGTAGAGCTATTGTAGTCACCCGAGTGTCGGCGTCGGCGTCAGCGTCGGCGTTGGTGTCCGCGTCGGCATAACCACTTATGTTAAAGTTTTTGTAATACCTCAAATATTTTCAAAGTCCATTGACATATGGCTTTGAAACTTTGCACACTTGTTCACCATCATGACCCCAACATGTAGACAGAAGGGGATATCTCTATCAAGCATTTGACAGAATTATGCCCCTTTTTCGACCTAGAATTTATGTTAAAAGTTTTTGTACTACCTCAAATATTTTCAAAGTCCATTGACATATGGCTTTGAAACATGTTGAAATTTTATACTCTTCTTTAAGAGCATAATAGGACTCTCTCCAAGGCCTATAACTGTAATATGGGTTTAAAGAAAAATTTTGCCTTTTTCTTTACTTAGAAAATTTTACCTTTTAATCAAGGCTTTTTTTACTATCAAGCACTAAGAATAGTCGAGCGTTGCTGTCTTACCGACAGCTCTTGTTCTTTCCTCTTTTTCTTTTTTACGGGAAATAATCAGTTTAAAAAAGGACAGCACCTCTAATTTGGTTGCCAAGATTAACATAGGTTTAATGTTGAAAGTTGTTTTTTTGGTATCTATCTCATACTACTGATTTTCAACATTCGTTTTTTTACGACAGCACGTGCCAGTGCCTACACTGCCGAAGATCCTGACGATGCCTCTATTTCTATATTGGTGAAAAGGCTGTTCGAAAAAGTAAGCAATCTTACATTCATGCATAAATAATTTATGATTTTATTGTGTTATTTTACTTCCAGTTTACAAAAGAAGATATTAATTGTAAGATGGGAATGTCGGTGGGTGGGCTTTAAAATTTGTCCATGCACAACCAAAGGGATTGTGTTACAACATTTTCTAATCACAAATACTAGACAAAAAATATAGTATTTATACATTACAAAATGTACCTAGAAAATGTAGGAGATCGCAATCAGCGGCAATCTGTACTCTTAAGGAAGAAGTCCAGGATTAGTCATGTAGATGGGAGATTTCCCATAAATCGCCTAAGAAACGAAAGGATGGAGATAGTGTGATGTATTAGGGATAGAGACAGGTTTGTTGGAGGCAGAAAATTGGTTTGGGGTTGGATAATGGGGAACCAGAAAACTGGTTTTGTCATTATCAAATGTAAACTGAAATCTCATATTTATATCAATATTAATATAACGTCTCCATACACCGACATTACGTTGTATGGCATGAGGGTGGGGAATGTCGTTCTAAATTCAGCAAGGTCTTGCATGATAATTGTAATGCTTTAAGCTACTTCTTCCACCAATGGGATAAATTTAATAGAACTGAGGTCAGGAGAAACGGGATGGGGAAAAGCAATATAGCAATACCAAATATTTGTGAAGTTAGAAGCTTAGCAGTCTGAAGTTGACAGCCTAGAAGCCTTAAGTTGGCAGTCTAGCCGCCTGAAGCTGGCAGCTTAGCAGCCTGAAGTTAGCAGTCTAACAGACAGAAGTTGGCAGCCTAGCAGCCTGAAGTTGGCAATCTAGCAGCCTGAAGTTGGCATCTTTGCAACCTTAAGTTGGCAGTCTACCAGCCTGAAGCTGGAAGCTCAGCAGCCTGAATTTGGCAGTCAAGCAGCCTGAAGTTCGCAGTCTAGCAGCCTGAAGTTCGCAGTCTAGCCACCTGAAGTTGACAGCCTAAAGAAAACGAATATCACAAATTGAAATCGGTCGGAAATGCATAATAAGCACTTACATGCTTATTTTAAAAATATCATGATCTTTATATTTTGATATGCTGAACTTAAAAGTTTTCATTCCCTGCAAGTTAGCAGCCTATCAGCCTAAAGAAAACTAAGAATATTTCAAACAAGAATTTGGCAATGCATTATAAGCACTTCTTTAGATAATTATACATGCATAATTATTCTTAATATCATGATCCTTATATTTTAAGATGCAGAACTTTAAAATTTTCATCAAACGCTTCGAAATTTGTGAATTTGGCAGACTAGACTGTCTGGATGCCAGGCTGCCAAGCATCTGATAGAAATCTTCAGTTCAGCATCGACAAATAATAGATGATAATATTAAAATAAGTTTGTAATGATAGAGTGCATTTCCGACCATTTTCATGTTTGTGTTAATATTCTTCGTTTTCTTTAGGCTGCTTGGCTGCCAAACTTCATAAATTTCAAAGAGTCTGAATAAAAACATTATAGCCAGTATTATATGCGACTATCACAATTTGGATTATTGACTTACTTACTATTGACAGCGTTACTTCAGCATGTGTCTTTACAAATCGCTTTACATACCATGGAATATATTTTGAGCCGCGTCATGACAAAACCAACATAGTGCGTTTGCAACCAGCATGGATCCAGACCAGCCTGCGCATCCGCGCAGTCTGATCAGGATCCATGCTGTTCGCTTACAAAGTCTATAACAAGTAGAGAAACTGATAGCGAACAAAATGGATCCTGACCAGACTGCGCGGATGCGCAGACTGGTCTGGATCCATGCTGGTCGCAAACCCATTATGTTGGTTTTGTCATGACGCGGCTCATTTTGACCTGACGTCATTTGCGTTATACAAGCATAGTGTAAAGACGCACTAAATGTTAGCGTTACACTATGGACGCGCCAATTAAAATGATTATTTTGTACTTTATACAGTCTTTATGTGATAAATAAGATATTATAGTCGTGTAGGTTCATTACTGAATTTATTGAACTCGTTGAATCAATATTTTGCTCGCCATAGGCTCGCATTCAACTCATTCAATAAACTCAGTATTGAATCTATACTCATTTAAAATCCTTTCTATACCACACTGTAAATAAGTTAACAAATCTGAAGCCTGATATCAAACATTATCACTCCTCCTCATTTCTTTTTCTTTCCCATTTGAGTATAGTTTACTATGATAAGAAATTAAAGTGTAAAGAATGCAGGAAAAAAAATGAAACTTTTGTTTCATCAAGGACACTACCAGGACTAATGTTAATTCATTTTCTGATTTTGCAAAAAAAAAGATAATTGATAATAAATTATCTTATTCCTCTATTACAGGACTCGAATTCATACCGGAATTTGCTTGCAGGTATTGTTATGGTCTAAATTATTTCTTTGTAGTAAATTCCATATCTTATTGACGATATTGATGCTTAACGATTTGTCGAAAGAATTTAACTAGCCCGTATATGTCGCTTAGTGCCGCTATACATTTTGTTTGCGTTATTCAAAGTTGTAATCACACTTAAGTGAAATTTTATATATGTATGTATATAATTATGCTTCTAAAACAATTTTCAAATATCAAGGAATATGTAAAATACGTATTGCAAATATTTGTTCACAATATATGTAATCATTAAAATATATGCATTCATTTCTTATTGAAAAAAAATGGCTTAGACTTTATAGAAAATAAATTTCTAATTACCTCCCTTTATTAACATGAAATTTAAATTCGGTAAGATCTTTACAATTATGCTTTTTAAACTTATAATATTGATTAATCATCATTTGAGCATTACATTTATGATATAAAACCATACAAAATGAGTTACAGGATCTTTAAAAAGAAAATGGATAGTTGTTTTACTCGCCAAACACCTATTGTAAAGTGAATCATGAAGTACAGTAAATAGACTTTTGTACGAACATATTTGTACAGTAAATATCGTAGTGTACTTTTCTTTTTCCCTACGGAATTTATTTCAAACATTTAATACTAGTTTCATTTTCATATTCACCTTTTGCCACAGCACGTGCCGGTGCTGACTTTGATGAAGACCTTGCTGTAACCCGTCATTCCCGTTTGGTGACGCCGGTACCAGAGGTAATTAAATGTCTTATAATAATATCAATTGTTTTTGATATGTACACTTGTTTGAGTCGAGTCAAAGTTTAAAATATGATTGTGATCGTTATGAACGAGCAATTTCAAACCATATACAATTGTTATTTCAAAACTCTGATATATGTATGAATTATTGTGTGCCATCATTACCAGATTCATTAATCGAATTTTACTTTTATTATACGACTATCACAATTTGGGCAATTGCCATTTTGCGCCTGACTAAGCGTTACTTAATTCAGCATGCTTCTTTTACCACATTGTCAATAAACAAATTTTGTTTATTTCGATAAGAAATTAGTGTACAGAATGCAGGAGAACGTAAAACATTTGTTTCATCGAAGGACACAACCAGGACGAATCTCATTTCCTGTTCTCAAATTTTGCAAAAGGAAAACCGATACTTGCATTTGATAATAAATTACCTTATTTCTCTATTACAGGATTCTTACCGGGATTTGCTTGCAGGTATTTTTATGCTCTTAATTAGTTCTTTTATTAAGTCATAGACGCTATTTGATGCTTTACGAATAGTCCCGTATATTTCGATTAATGCCACTGAACATTTTGTTTGCATTTGATTGACAGAGGTCCTACTCGGCCAACACCCATGCCAAGATTTGATTTTTATGTTCTCCGAAAAATTTCGGGGGAGCATATAGTCGTCGGGTTGTCCGTCCGTCCGTCAGTCCGAACGTCCGTTCGTACGTACGTCCCGAATTCGGTTTCCGATCAATAACTTAAGAACGCTTAGGCCTAGGAACTTCAAACTTGGTATGTTGATTGGTCAAGACCAGCAGATGACCCTATTGATTTTAGGGTCAAGGGGTCAAAGGTCAAGGTCACATTGACCTTGTAGGTAAAAACGGTTTCCGATCAATAACTAAAGAACGCTTAGGCCTAGGAACTTCAAACATGGTATGGTGATTGGTCATGACCAGTAGATGACCCCTATTGATTTTGGGGTCAAGGGCACATTGACCTTGTAGGTAAAAAAAACGGATTCGTGTCCGGCCCATAACTTTATTTGAAGTCGGATTTTAAAACTATTTCACAGAAATGTTCACCATATTGAGACAATGTGTCGTGCACAACGTTTGGGTTGTTTTTACACTTTGAACTTTGTAAAAAATCGCCTAACCCCTGAAATTTCAAAGTAACACCTTAAATTTAAAAACCCATTGGGGAGCACCCCGGTTTTTAAAACCCCACTTTTTTCTTTGCAAACAATTTTTAACCCATTTACTCTTCCCATTCTTTGAAATTTAAAATTTAAAAAACATTTATTTTATATTTTACCTTTTGGGCCCCAACCGGGCCGGTGGACTTTGATGAAAGACCTTTCTGTAAAACCCCTCATTTTCCCCTTTGGGTTAACCCCCCCGGACCAGAGGGAAAAAATTTGGCCCAAATTTAAAATCAAAAGGGTTTTTTGAAAATTACAAAAGTTGAGTCAAGTTTTAAAGTTTTAAAAAAATTTTTTACGTTATTAAAGAGCAATTTCCAAAACCCAAAAACAATTGTTATTATTTTAAAAAATCCTGGGTATATGTAATGAAATATTTTGTGCCATCATCACTAGATTCATTAAGTTATATTAACTGACACAATTTGGGTAATTTTAAATTTGACCCTAACCAAGCGTTATTTCGAATTCTGCATGTCCCATAAAAATGTCATAAGTCGCTGCCTATCTGTTCATATATTCTTAAGATATTGTAAGATTACTTTAAGCATATTCAAACAAAATTTTCTGTTTTTCATAAAAAACAGATACTTGTATTTGATAATAAATTATCTTATTATTGTATTACAGGACTCAAATTCATACCGGGATTTGCTTGCAGGTATTGTTACGGTCTTAATTAGTTCCTATGAGTAAATTCCAAGTAAAAATTGACGCTATTCATGTTTACGAATAGTCGTAAGAAAAAAACAATAAGGACGCCCGTATATTTCGATAAGTACCCACAGAAGTACATTTTGTTTAGTTTCTATTAAAAACAGATGGATAGATGTTCTTCTCGCCCAACACCCATTACAAGATTTGATATGTACAGTAATTAACCTATCTTACTCTTCCTATTGCTCTTCCTATTGTTTAAAGATTTTACTTAAAAAAATGATACTGGTTTAATTCTGAAATATACTTTTTGTCACAGCACGTGCAGGTGCTGACTTTGATGAAGATTTTGCTATGACCCGGCATTCGCCATTGGTGACGCCGGTACCAGCATACCGTACTGAGAACCTAGATGAGAGCCCGAAATCTTCATTGGTGGATACAATATTTAAAAAGGTAACAATATATCTGCTAAGCTTAATCTGATTTGAATGTTCATGTATCGACAAAAAAGTTTGGGAAGGGCAGACTATTCAAAAAAAGTTGTTTTCCATAAATGCGTGTTTTCTTTATGTATAGTAATATTATATAATGTTCTACTGGTACCATTTTTGTGTCGTCTGCTACAGTGTTGCGACGACATAAAGGGACCCCTTCTCTGTCGTCTGTCAGTCTGGCCGTCCGTAACAAAACTTGTCCGGACTACTCCTCAAATAGTCTCATGAAATTTCAACCAAACTTTATAGAAATGATCTGTACAAATCTTGGTGTGCATTGATTTTTAGCTCGACTATTCGCAGAATAATCGAGCTAATGCAGTCACCCATTTGTCGGCGTCGGCGTCGGTGTCGGCGTCCCTGTGGTTAAGTTTTTGCGTGCAAGCTGGTATCTCCATAACTACTGAAGGGAAAATGAATTGAAACTTCACACATTTTTCTCTTTTGTGATTAAACAACATTTCATTGGGACAAGTCCTCCCCTTTAAATTTCTTTTTCAATTTAAATTAAAGGCCCCTTTTTGACTTAGAAAATTTTTGGTTTTAAATTTTTTCTTAAGCTGGTATCTCCATAACTCTGAAGCGAATGGCTTAAAATCCCCTTTTTCTTTTTCAAACCTGATTTGGGACCAATTAACTCTTATTTGTTTTTTTTGCATAAAAATGCCCCCTTTTTCAACTTAGAAATTATTGGTTAAATTTTTTGCGGCAAAATGGTTATCTCCATTTAAAATACTGGGGAAAGGGAATACACACTTTTTCCTGTTGATTTATCTAAAATGATTGGGACCCAAATTTCCCTAACTCTGATTTTTCCTTTTTTCCCCCCTTTAGTGGCAGGCATTTAGATTTTACCCTTTTCCGTTTCCCCCGGGCCCTTTTCCCTCCGCCGTCCGTTCCGTTCTCTTTTGTGTCGCATGTAACTCAAAAAAAGTATTTGACCTAGAGTCATGAAACTTTACAGGGAATGTTGATCAGCATGTGTAGTTGTGCACCTGGGTATTATTTTCGTCTGGATATTTTTTAATATTTAAGCATTATTGCCCTTGACTAAGTAAAAGTTTTGCAATTTTCAACTTGTGTCGCATGTAACTCAAAAAAGTATTTTGACCAAGAGTCATGAAATTTTACAGGAATGTTGATCAGCATGTGTAGTTGTGCACCTGAGGGTATTTTCGTCTGGATTATTTTTAGTATTTTTTAGAGTAATTGCCCTTGACTTTTTAAAATTTTGCAATTTTCAACTTGTGTCGCATGCTACTCAAAAGGTACTTTTGACCTAGAGTCATGAAACTTTACAGGAATGTTGATCAGCATGTGTAGTTGTGCACCTGCGTATTTTTTTCGTCAGGATATTTTTAGTATTTTTTTTAGTTATTGCCCTAAGACTAAGTAAAATTCCTGCAATTTTCAACTTGTGTCGCGCATATGTAACTCAAAAAGTATTTGACCTATAGTCATGAAACGGTTTTTTACAGGATTATTTTAGGAATGCCCCTTTGATCAGCGATTTTAAATGTGTAGTTGTGCACCTGGGTATTTTCGTCTGCCTAGTTACTCTGTCGCATATTGCCCTTGATAAGTTTGAAATCAATTTTTATGGTGGAAAATAGCATTATTGCCGGATAACAGGAAATGGTGTGACGACATTGAGCAATGCTGTTTATCGAGGACTCTATTGGTTCCTCAGTCAACATGCCAAGGGTTTACATTCATACTGAGGGATTTTTTTATTTTTATAGCAGGGTTTTAACCCTTGGGAAAAAGAAGGCTTCTTTTTAATGAAAAACGGCCAATTTTTTTTTATGCGATAAAAAGGTTTAAAATTTTCTGGGAATTAGGCCCAAATCT